TCCACATTTTTAAAAATGCGAGCACCACTGGCTGGGTTTTCTCTACTTGTCTTTAAAGTGACATATTTGCCCAATAAATATTGTTAGTGGGCAAAATAGGAGGCTGAGATTGTAAAACTTGTTCTGATTTAACTGCACTGGCCTGGGGGATGCTTTGAGAAAAATGGCTATGGAGTGTGGAGCACCTCGAAAACCCTGAGGGGGTGGAAACCGGCTCTCACAAAGCACTGTGACCTTGTAGGGCTGGGCGGAGGGTACAGAACTGGCCTGTGAATCCAGACCCCAGCTCAACCCCAGCCTGGGCAGCAGGGGTGACGGCAGTGGATGATTTGGAACCCCAAACTGATGAAGAAGGCATTACCCTTCTGTTTCCTTGGTCTTGAACTGATATTCTTTGAGACTAACATTGAAATAAGGTAGATAGAATATTTTCTGATGAAAATAAACCACACCAAGCATTTCAAAGTTTCTAAAATAGGATAGCACTGACTTTTTTGTCTAGTTGAACTTAAAACTTGCAGCAAAGTGAAAGTCTAAATTATATAATTTTTTTTAAATGCCACATCTTCCTCGATTCATTCCTTTTTTTTTTTTTTTTTTTTGAAAAATAAACAATGGATTTCCTGAGACAATGAGGCCAAATTTGATGCTATGCTCCTTTCCATCTTCAGGATAATATGGGTCTAGGGTAAAGTGGTTGCCTATGAAAGGACTGGCGGAGAAGCAGATTGCAAGTGGCAAAGTGGAGTGAACCCTGGGTGCAAGGGGAGCAAGCAGAATATAAAGGCAGTTGGGTTTTGCCCTTCATGTGCCAGGGAAGCTTTATTGCTGCCTGGAGAGGGAGGGAAAGGTACCTATAAGAACAGCTGGCAGTGCACATGGATATACCTACTGGGTCTTAGTAACATGATGAATGTGTCTAACCTTGAGTGAAACTCCTTAGAGAAAAATTCAGAAAGGTTTAAAGAAAGATACCCTAATTTAGGGCTCTACAACGCATGCATGCACATATTGTAATACTGTTTTTTTATCCGTCAGTACTCAGATATCAAAGCCACACTCTCTGTTTTAAGCACAGTGTGCTTGGATGTTAACTTCTGACCACTCACAGAAATCTCCTTCTGCTTCCAAAATGATCGCCAGGGCTGAAGAAGCAGCTTTTAGTCTAACTTCCAGGAATGACTCTCAGAACACCAGCACAGACTGGCTGTCAAAAAAAATCTGCTCTCTCTACTTATAGCCCGGAAGCTGAGAAATCACGAAGATGCCATGTAGCTGCTTGTTCCAGAGCCACATTACCTTAGCCACAGTCTTTCCAGCCAAACGGATGTCTCATATCCCACCACCGTGTACCATGGGGCCTCGGCTGTGGATGGTCCCCAAAAATCAAATGCTCACGACTATTGGCAGAAATCTGTTCTCGATCTCATCTGGCCCTCTCAGTCTCAAAGAGGCACATCTGATCGGAGTAGTGAGGTCACAGCTGTGAGGGATTTTGAAAAATGTATAGATTTCAGCTGAAGGGGCCCACCTGTGAGCCAAAGCACACCCACAGGCCACAAATCAGGTTCAATATTTCAAGAGGTGTCATCTCCTGCACCCCCTGTGCAGCCACAGGGAGGCACAGCCAAAGCCCTCTTGGTCAATAACCTCCTCACCCAGCACTGTGGAGAAGGCGGCCCAGACAGACTGGGATCTGATGGAACCCCTCAGTTCCAGGCGTATGGACTATGAGGCCTCTGGCCCTCACTGCTCTACTCTGATGTGTGATGGGAAGCAAGCACATGTCCAGTTACCTGGACAGCTAACTAGGAAGGCTGCTGAGCAGTCCACTGACCATCTAGGATAGGAGGGAATACTGCAGTTGTTGTATAATGTCACAGTTAGAGGCAATCAGCTGGGGTTTGGGGAAGTACTTCAGGTGGATGCCTCAAATCTTTGTCTTATGTTTACTTTGGCAATTTGCTTAGAGATGTCCAAACTAGTTGTAGGGTGACGCTCTAACAACTCTCTCTATATATATGTGCATGTATATATACAAATAGCTATGTAAATCAGAACTCTATCATTATTTGGCAATACTTGATATGGAAAAATTAAATTGCATTTGAGATCCATTTGTATTATCTCAAAAAAACATCAACATCACACGTCAATTATAGAATAAGAGCTAGACTTTAAATATAATTTCCAATTATCAAAAAAAAAATTTAAGATTTATTTATTTATACAAGAACCGGGATATAGGCCAGATGCGCGGGAGGGTGAAAGGATTCACCAGAGACAGAGTGGGGAACAGAAGAGGCAGACCGACCGAAATACACTGCTGAGGGGGAGCAGCGGGTGAGACAAGACAGGAGAGGTCTGTGGCGCCATGTGGGTATCTCCCCGGCTGTCCAGGATCGAACCCACACTGCAGAGGCAGCAGACAGCTTCACAGCATTGCGCTCAACCGCCTGCGCCACCAGGGAGGCCCTATAATTATTAAAATAGCTTATAATTATTTGATCAGTTACTTAGGTAAACAATGTTTCTTGCTGATGGTGACTACAAAAAGTTGGAGAACTCATTTAAATATCTTGATCAAGAACTTCATATACCGTGTCAGGCATACAACTTGATATTGAATAGTTCTGTCACAGCAAGATCAAATTTTGTTACAAGGCAAACCCTGATACAAAATGGGGTTGCCTGTGGGTCCTCACCCACGCTTAAAGGGGACTTATTAATGCTAAACTGCAGACATACACAAAAGGTTGATGAAAGGTTTATTTACAAGGGAAGGGGAAATGGGAAATGAATAACTCAGGGAGAAAAGAGGGAGATAAGTTCGTAAATGTGTCCTACCCGTTTCGCTGACCTGGAATCCCAATGATCCGCCGAGCTGGCAAAAACCTAGCATGCCTTGTGGCCAAGCCAGAGACATCCCCACACCCCCACCTCCACCCCCCTCCTACTCCGCCCCCCCCCCCCCATGGCCAGTTAAATTCCCAAGCCTAGAGCCTAGTTGCTTGGTTGCTTAACTCCGCCCTCAGGTCCTTGCAACCTTCCCTTTGGTGATCATGGGATTTGTGGTTCCCAGTGTCGCGGGGGTGGAGTCCACAAAGCTTGTATGGCGTTTGCTCAGGACATCCTTGTCCCCTATCAATTTCACATTAAGGAACTTATAGTGTATTTGGCATTTTACACAAAATTAATACATAAAATATTTCCTAGTATTTTGGTTTTTACTGATCTTAGTTCTTATTATATCATTATTATATCAGATCTTAGTTCTTATTATATCATTATTATATCTTATTATATCAGAAAAATAACATTTTGTTTTCTAAGCTCCAAATAAATACTCTCCAGTTTAGTGCCATGAAACACTCATTTTCTGTGTGCACCATGACATAAAAAAGGGAATAGCTGTAATGGAATAGAATGAGCCAATTTGCAATATACACAGTATTACATACACAACAAGATTGCTTAGTAAATCTAAGAAATTTTTACTTGCTACCCTAACACTCTAATCAGGATAAACCCTTGTTCCTTTTTCTTTAAAACTTAGGTATCAGACCTTAACACATGCACCAAGATCACTATTGTTCCCTCTTGTGAAAAACCTGGAAGAAATAATTTTCAGATCACAATGGTCTCCCTTTGTATGCTGCCAAATCTTGTCATGCTCCTCTGCAGAGTTAGCTCTGAAAACCTTACCCTCTGATCCCTTCCTCCCCACACGGCGTCTCCTCTTCTGCTTTGGGCTTGTAGTACATCAGGACATCTTTCAGCACGTAATAATGCTCTCCTCTCTTGTAAGCAACTTGAGGTCTCTGCTTAACTTCTTTATATCCCCCTCTGTTCTGGGCACATATTAAGTAGTGGTTATCACTAACTGCTAAAATGCTGTTGGGAGATCAAATATTAAAAATGGATTGTGGGGCCTCCCTGGTGGCGCAGGGGTTAAAGTCTCAGTGCTATCAAGCTATTGCCAGCCACTGCAACAAGAGTTTGATCCCCTGCCAGGGAGCTGACCCACTTGGCACATCAGACCTCTCCCCTCTCTGGTCTCTCTAACAGCCTCTCAGATAACGACACCATGGCCTATGGACTAATTCTGAGTAACAGGGACTTAGAAGACATGTGTGTTTCTATACACCATACACATAATTTTAACAATTAACACTTAAATAGCTTCTAATGTTTGGTTTATCTGCAGTGAAATATCCCATCAATGAGAATCCTAACACCTAATAATACAAATATTAATAAAAGAAATAATACAAATATTTATCAAATATACTTTGTGTGCATATAGGCACAAATATTATTAAAAATCTCATTACAGGTTAAGGTCAACAGAGGTATTTTTAAGACTCTAATGCAATTAGCCCAAGGGCATTCCACAGTGACAGAGAGCAGACCCAAGTTTATCAGCAGGCAAGGAGAAAGACCAAAAGGGTGGAAACTTTTAGGGCTAGTGATATATTCATTATCTTGACCCTGGTAATGTTTCCATGGAAATATATTTATGCGTTGTTCATATGTATTTTAAAACTTCTCAGGCTGTACACTTAAATATATGCAGTTTATTGTATGTCAGTTACACTCTAATAAAGCTAGTGGGGGCAGGGGAAGAGCAAAGTACTTTCAGGAAAGGCTGTGCTAATTTACATTCCCTCAGCAGCATATGCAAGTGCCTGCCTCATTACACTTTTGTCAGCACTGTCATTCTTTAAAAAAAAACCAAAAAACTGCTAAGTTGAAAGGCAAAAATATCTCCTGTTTGAATGTGCATGTCTCTGATTACTGAACTTTTCTCATATTGATCAGCTCTTTGCTCACTTTTCTATTGTAATGTTAGTTTGTTTCTTATAGGAACTCTTTATTTAGGTATTTATTATAAGCAGAACATGTATTTTTCCACTCCACTCGATTTTTACCTTTGTGTATACTTGAGGTAATTAGATGTTGACATTTTAAAGAAGATCAAGAATTTAAAAAAAGGCATTTAATCTTAACAGTACTCCGAAAATTTACAGATAAAAAGCTCAGTCAGGACACAGAATTACACATCAAAAACTCAAATCTTTTTCAATCACCGAATTTCTTTCACAAAGTGACTCACCAACATTACCACAAAAGCATATACATCAACATCTCAAAATACTTTTACTTAATACAGTAAATTGCTAGTTTATTTTTTCTTCAAAAAAAGGACACAGTGGTACTAAGACTCTTGTGATTTGGTCAAAGTCAGAATTTATATTTGTAAACTCCCACTTTTTATTTATTGACCTTCTCTCATTGTGTGACACATAGGCCTACAAGCTCAAACTGGGGTTGTGTTGGGCTTTTCTGAGAGTCAATTTAATAAATGCCAGAAAAGGAGACTATCAATATATTCTACTAGAGTGGGGAATAAAATTTTTACATTGAGCTATAATTGAAATATAACATTGTATTAGTTTCAGGCATACATTATGACTCAATACATATTGTAAAATGACTACTAGTTAACTCCAGCTAAAACATCCACCAATATAGTTACAAATTATATGCGTGATGTAAACTTTTAAGATCTACTAAGAAATTTTCAAATATATACCATTAATAGCTATTATTTAGTCACCATTCTGTCTTACATCCCGTGACTTGCTTTATAATGAAAAGTTGGCAACTTTTGACCACCTTCACCCCTTTTTTTCACCTCCCAAGACCTACCTCTGCAACCAATATGTTCTCTGTATCTGAGCTTGGTTCTTTTCTAGATTTCACATGTAAGTGAATTCATACAGCACTTGTCTTTCTTTAACTCACTTCACTTAAAATAATGCCCTCAAGTTCCATCCATAACACAACTGGCAAGATTTCATTTTTTGTGGCTGAATAATATTCCATTGTGTGTGCACATACACAGACATACACCCCACATTTTTTTCATCCTTCATTTATAGACAGACATTATGTTGTTCCCAAGTCTTGATTATTGTCAACAGTGCTGCAATCAACATGGGGGTGCATTCCCCAATACTATTTTAGCTATTTCTATAAACTTTTGTACTTTCTATAAATTTTAGGATTATTTGCTCAATTTATATGGAAAATGTCATTGGAATTTTGGTAATAATCACATTGTTTTGGATAGCATGGACATTTTAATCAGCATTATTCCATACATACGAAATATATTTCTTGTGTCTTCTATTTCTTTTATTAATGTCTTTTAGTTTTAAGTATACAGTTCTTTCATGTCCTTGGTTGAATTTATTCCTAGATATTTTAGTCTTTTTGATGTAATTGTGTATTGGATTGTCTTTTTAATTTCTCTCCATAGTTCTTTATTAGTATATAGAAATACAACAGATTTTTGTACAAAAGATTTTCACTCTGCCACTTTCTAAATTCATATCTTAGCTCAAGTAGGTTTCTGGTAGAGTCCTTAGGGCCGATTAATCTTTATATTTAGGATCTCCCCGGTGGTGCAGCGGTTGAGCGCTGAGCTGTGAAGCTGTCCGCAGTCCCTGCAGCACCGATTCGATTCCCCGCCGGCCAGGGAGAATCCCACATGGCACAGCAGATCTCTCCTGCCTTACCCGCTGCTCCCCTCAGCAGTGTCTTCGGTCCATTTGCCTGCTCTGCTCCCCACTCTAGCTCTGGTGAATTCTCTCATCCTCCTGCGCTTCTGACCTGTACTCCAGTTCTTGTATAAAAATAAATCTTAAAAAAAAAAGTTTAAAAAAAACTTTATATTTAATAATCATGAGAAGAAATATTTTGTTAAACTATTCTCCTTCACTGTACCTTGGATCTCATAAGACATTTTTATAATACTACGGGAGGAATGCTAACACTAGTAGTAGTAGTAAAACTGTAGTCTGTTTCTCTACCATGCCAAATGGTACAAATTCAAGAAAACTACTTCACCAAAATGTAGTTATGCATATTTATAAATGTGTCCATAAATAACATATTTTTAACTCTTGTTCTGAAGCTTCTAGGGGTTAAATCATTGGGTTAAATCTCCAAAACTAAATGACGTCCAACCTGGAACTAGAGTGGGAAACAAGCTGAAGAGGAGATGAAATGATGTGGAAGCCAATGACATAGCTGGGACTTCAGAAGAATCAAATTCTTTGAGCCTTAACTTCCTCATCCATAAAATGAGGATGTGGATTAACTGACAGCAAAATTTCTGTTGCAGTCTAACCTTTTCTAAATGCAGGCTGGCTAAGCTGGTAAAACCTGACAGTTGCAGTCACATTGCTGGAGTTTTTTTTTAATTGTCAACTTAGGTTCCTCAACTACTTTTCTCATAAGCCTATGTCAGCTCAGGTTCAAACTAGTCCTGACTTCCTGTGTCATCTTGGGCAAAAAATGCTCATATTAGAGATAAGGAAGCGACAGCCAAGAGAGAATCATAATAGCAGCTACTCCTCAAAAAAGAAAATAGAGAGTACATGCGAATACTTAAAAGAGTACCTGGTAGATATAAGATGGCTAGTAATTGCATGTCCATGTATTTGGAGTATCTTAGTCTATTCAGGATGCTATAACAGAGTGTCATTTATTTATTTATTTTTTAAGATTTATTTATTTATTCACACAAGCACTGGGGTACAGTCAGAGGAGCGGGAGGGTGAGAGAATTCACCAGAGCCAGAGCGGGGAGCAGAGCAGGCAGAGTGATGAAATACACTGCTGAGGGGAGCCACGGATGGCAGGAGAGGTCTGCACGTCATGTGGGACCCTCAAACGGCGGCCGGGGATCAAACTGGTGCTGCAGAGGCTGCAGGCAGCTTCGCAACCCAGTGCTCAACCATTGCACCACCGGGGAGGCCCCAGAGTGTCATTTATTGAGTAATCTATTAAGCAAAAGAAATTTCTCATAGTTCTGGAGTTTGGAAAGTCTAAAAGCAATGTGTAGGTAGACTGGGCATCTGGGAAGGATTCCTTTCCTGGTTCATAGATGGCCATCTTCTCAGATGGCAGCAGCGACAAGGTCTACCACAGCTTTGTGAGGTTAGTTTCACAACAGCATTGTATGCAATCCAACTCACAGGGTCTCCACCCACATGACCTAATCATCTCCCAAATTCCATCTCATTGGGTGTTAGGCTTCAACATGCAAATTCTGGGGGGATATAGACATTCATCTTTTTTCATGGGGGTAAAAATAACATCAACTTACATGGCACTCAATTTTATGAGTGACCACGCTTATTCATAACTTGAGTTAAATATTAGATAGACACATGTACAATAAACAAATATTTCAACAAAAGAATGAACATAATTGAAAAGTAATTCTCAGATAGAACTCACAACATCGTTCAGCTATTTATTTTAGATTTCATGAAATGACGGTGGAAAAGGTAGGAAGGGAAGGGGGGAAAAAGAAATGACCTCAACAGTGGCAAGAGTTATGGTATTAACACCCCACAATCTATCAGTTTTAGTAAATTTGGGCTCTCTGTCATGAATTAGCTCATTTATGTTTCTCTTAGTTCGGTCCACAAACCACCTCCACCTAGAATGCTGTTTCTATACATGCTACAATTTGAGTTCCTGGTCAATGTGACTAATGTTTGAAAATGGGATCAATACCTGTGTCCTAGAAGTTTATAAAAAGAGTATAAACATGCAGATTCCAAAATAAGGACTGCCCACACCAACTTACCTACAGTCCATCACAAGTAAGACATCAAATGCCAAAGCTCAAAGCTAATGAGAAGTAAACCCTGCAGCTCTTTAATTTGTCAATTATCTGGGTATTAGAGAGAATAGATATGGTTAGAAAAATGAAACTTCTGGAATTTTCGCAGCATATTCCAAAAAATGCCAGTAATATTTCTTCCATTCTTAAAATTAATTTTAACGATGAACCAAAGTAACACCTTTTGTTATGGTGAGTAGTCAAGTGAATCTTACTGACTGAATTGTAGTCTTTATTGAAGTTATTTTACAAGTGCATGTCTTCAAACATGAAAAGGTTGCTTTTTACTTTAACATGTGCTTTGCAAATTTACATCAACAGTAGGAAGGGTTTTGGACGAATAGATCTCAGTCTTCAAAAATGTGATCGCCTCCTTCATCTCTAGCTTTTCCATCTCCCAATTATTGATCTGATCAAAGAAAGAAGAAAACAGTTACTGTGCAACAAGGTGACACAGAAAATAAAGGCTGGTTTTTGAGATCCAAAAATAAAGTGACTTCAGACCAACTGCTTTTTAAAAGCAAATGCTACATTATAATTAATCATATTTTAAAGGCTAAGTAAGATTATTTGCTAAGGTGTGAGGAAAGCGCTAACAACGAAAATTATTAAAACTTTAAAGGTCCTCTAAAGGGTATAACAATTCTTTCTTGGAACAATCTCCCTTAGATTGAACACGTGTGTGTGTGTGTGTGTGTGTGTGTGTGTGTGTGTGCGTGCACGCGCACATGTGCGTGTCTCATAGACAACATGAAAAAAAGTCTCAAGTTGTAGCCAGTGAAAGAAAGGGGCAACTGAATCCATTTTTGGATTTGAACGTATTTCACATACATGCAGAACCAAGTGAGTGGCATTTAGATAGATCCCAACATTAATATAAATATGAATTTATTTGTAAATTTCCTGCTCGATATGAAACATCTGGAAAACTTGTGGTGCTTGGAATCAAAGTGATTAAGAGAAACGAGGCTGAACCCTGCTTTCACAACCACCTTATTTCCAATGACAAACATCCTAGATCAGCCTCACACAGGCTGATGAAATCAAGACTTAAAAAAAAAACTTAAATTAGCAACTCTTCTTCCCTTGTTCAAGATAAACTGGAAACTGAATATGATCCACGTGTCTTGACTAAGAAAATATATTATTTACAAGTTTCCTCTTCACAAAAGTAACAAGTTCAGCAAATATAACATTTACAAAGCCCCTAGTGAATGACAGAAATCAGTTGAGTAAAAACCAAGTCATGTACTAGAAATTGTCTTTTTCAAATAATACATACACTAAAGAATTTATTCCTATATTGCTGACCCTTCCTTTAGAGTTCCTATAACCAACCACAACATTTCCTTCTAGCAGACATCAGAAAATGAAGAATGTTTAATTTGTATTGTTTCCATACCAAGATCACACGAAAGCCCATAAGTTTCAAATGCCGCATTTTTACAGCAAGGAATCCTCTGGGATGGGTGGAATCCAAACAGTAGACAGATCTAGGAACACACAGTACAGCTATTCTGAAAATAAAAACACACAATATGAGAATCGTTAGTAATGAGATTACCACTTACAATCTTGCTGTATTTCTACTGTTAGGAAATTACAAAGTTGAGGTCTCCACTGACCAGCCTGTTTCAGTCCTTCACTTCCTGCTGTTACTTGCCTCTGAAGATAGTCCAGTATCCAAATGCTAGTTAAGAGACCAATGGCTTATAGATGTTTTAGTTATCCCTCACCCATCTTTGAAGATGGCTAAATCCTTGATAAGGAACATTTTCAGATATGAAAAGACCCATTTTAAGGCTTCATGTGCAGTGTTAAACCATCATTTAAATTATCTGTGCTACTGGAGGTACTGATATGGTTAATGCTGAATAGTAAATGTACTTGTACAGTCTCCCAAAGGAGCAGCATTTAAAGTGTGGAATAAAGAGACCAAATATAATAAAGAAAACTCTATGAAGGGAAATACTGTCAAAGATAAAAATCTCTATGTGTAACAAAAATCTAGATGGTGTAATTTATTTTTTCACTGTTCTTAGCCTTTTGCAAAGATTAAGTTCATGGTGGGGAAATGTATACCCTGATTTTTTTTCTCTTACATTCACTCTGGTTGTTATCTAAGATAATACAGAAGCTTTATATTTTTAAGGGAATGCTAAAGATTCCTCACTTTCCAGCACTTTAAGTTGAGAGTTATTACACTGTTATTATGCCAGAGCAGTGCAGTACCTGAAAAATAAGAGATCTTCCAACAGGGTCAGACAGAAAGCCTTCTTTTGAGGACAGAAAGGTTACATGTACAGGGAAGACAGCAGCTGAAAAGGTAGCCAGGAAGCTAGATGGATCCAGAACCAAATGTGAATGAAGAGGGATGGCAGATAGGAGTTTGAATTCCCAAATTTTTCTGTACTTCTCTCCACAGTATTGGGCAACCAATAAGGCAATGGGGGGGTATAAGTTCCTTGGGTTCTAAATCCATGTCTGACTCATCTTTGTGTTCCCCACAAGGCCTAGAGCCTTTCCACACAGGCTGACAGAACATGGGGTGTGTGCGACAATGAAGTGACCTGATGCATCTGCGTAAAAGGCAGCTCATGCTCCCAGGGCGCAGCTTCCACCCACCCTCACCCTCTCCCCTCCCTCCCTACCCTATTTGCAGTCTGTGAGTTGAGAAAACAACTTATGATTAACTTCAATACCCTCTGATCTCTATACAACAGAGCTTGATTAAAAACTAAAGTTCCTCTACATTTGGAAAGGTTTTGGTGACAAAGCGAAGTATTTATTAGGTTTTTGATTTTTGTATAAGCCATTATTCTTTATGCTATTATATTATCTTATCAAAAGTTTACACTGAACTGAGAGTTTCAATTATTTAACACTTTTTAAAAAATTATTAACTTTAAAACCTAACTTGCCAATTTTATGAAATGGTTCAACTTGAGTGGATTGTCTTCAACTATAGTGCCCACATTCACACCGACGGAGTGATTAATAGAGAAGTCTTTTGATGCACATCAAACTCCTTACAAGTATAAGGTCTTAGTATTATTACTACCATTTACTATGAAGTCTTTGAGAACTAAGATTTAAACTCAGATGATTCAACAAATGAATATATAAACAACCTTTCAATATTTGTAGAAGCGATGACATCCGTGTCAGAAAATGAAAGCACCTTATTCCTGTTAGTATCCATTCTAATTTCAAAATCTGAAAGAAAAGAATTTATATGAAGGTCTCAAACATTGCTCAGAGATTTTCTATTTCAAAATGTCGAATACTACCACCCGCAGCAAGGGCAACCAGAACATACGCACTGAGATTATGAGGTGCCAGCACAAATTTGAGTTTTGCCTGAATAATTTCATTTATTTGTCAAGGAAACTTTGAGGTGGGTACTTTTATTATTGCCCTTGTTCAAAAAAGGAAATGGGGCTGGTGCTAAAGTCACAGCATTAGCAGCAGCAGCTCCAGCACCCAAGCCTCACCAGCGCAGCTCCAAGCCAAAGCTGTACTACAGGAAACTGACAAGGGGAACTCCTGGTCTTCTGCCAGAACAAGAGGGGAAACAAATAAAATGAAGGAAAATCGCATTAAGTCTCATACCAATATGACAATTGTCATACCAATATGATAATTGTGTGGCAACCAGACATTTTGTGAGAAGCACCCTTCTCCCAGAAGACTGCTGAGCACGTTGGCAACCTTCACATTTGAATGTGGGGCTGGGGCCGGCAGCTGTGGCAGTTCTAGGTCTATAGCTTTGTGGTAAGGAGCCTCATCAAGTTTTAGACAACTATCCAAAATACGAAGCATCCGAACATTCCTCTCCACGTCACCTAAAAAAAGAGAAAATATCACTAAGAAAAAATGTTAATGCCACATTTAAGAAATCATGTCAATACATCCGTATTTCTGATTGGTTTTCAGGAGGAATCTGTCTCCCTAGTTCCCAGAGCGTTTAGATCTACACCCTAGGTTTAAATTACCTTTTAAAGTGCTTTAGTCTAAACTCTCCACTGAATAGATGACCAGGAATGTTGGTAAAAAAACCTTGTGGTTAACTAAAGGCAGAGCCAGGACTGGAATTCAGGTCTCCTGGGTTCATTTTCCCCACATTAACCTGCTTAAATCAGCATACGGTATTCCTTCCTCCCAACTTCACTGCAAAATTTCATAACATTAAAAGAATTTAAACAACTGTTCTTACATCATCAAATTTTGTGTGCCTGATACTGCTTTTTCTTTTTCAATAATAAAGAACAAAAGTCAATAAATTTGACCCCAGAAGTGAATAAATTCACTACTTTGGCAACTATTTGGTTATCCTCATCACAAGCCTTGAGTAACAAAATGTTTACAGCTGCAAAAGTTTATGTAACTCAGCTTCTAAGTGACATGGAAGCACTAGGAAGGACAAATGCTTCTGCAAGCCAGGAGGAACAACTTGAAAACTTGCTCTTTGAATAGGTGCATAAATTGTAAGTAGAAGAAACAGTGATTCTTGCCTTCTATATTAAAGGCGCCTCCATGGGTTTGCTGGTGTGAAGCACTGACCTTTGACTTCACCATTATCGATCCTTCCCTCAGTGGCACTGCACATTCCCTCTGCACATTTAAATAACGTGGTCCGTCTAAGACCGCATTCAAAATCACAAAGTAGCCTTATCTCTGGCACCACTGGCCAATGACATCCTACCTGACATCAGTAGCTCCTTGATAATGTCCTTTTTGAGAAGTTGATTAATAGGGGCCAGAGGAAAATGATTCATTGAACAAAATGAACACACAGCGCACAACAGGTTTTCAGAAGAGATGTGGTGTAGATAACCAGTCAGAGCACTAGTCATAACTTCTAGGAACCTTCAGGGGATAAAGAAAAGTCACCTTTCAAATATAAATAGAAGACAAGATCATGGCAGAGCTAGTAAGGTACCACAGAACCAGTGGCTTCATGCATACATCTCCCAGGTCACAAATCTCATCTCATAATAAACACCTATTTAATAAAGGTTGGCTTCTGTATGTGTCTTGTGCAGGGTAAATATTTTACAGGCTTTAACTCATCTAATTCCTATTAAAACTCAATAGGGGGCCTCCCCGGTGGCGCAGTGGTTAAGCGCTGGGTTGCGAAGCTGCCCGCAGCCTCTGCAGCCCGGTTCGATCCCCGGCCACCGGCAAGAGTCCCACATGCCATGCAGACCTCTCCTGCTGCCCACTGTTCCCCTCAGCAGTGTATTTCGTCAGTCTGCCTGCTCTTCTCTCCGCTCTGGCTCTGGTGAATCCTCTCATCCTCCCGCGCTTCTGACTGTACCCAGTGCTTGTATAAATAAATAAATCTTTAAAAAAAAAAATAAAACTCAATAGGGTAGATTTTATTCTCATAATTAAGATGAATAAACAGGCTCAGAGAGGTTGAGAAACTTGTCCAAGAACACATAGCCAGAAAAGTAGCAGAGACAGCGCTGGAACCCAAGCTGTCAGACTCCAGACCCTTTTTATCCACTGTGCTACATTTTTAATCATGAGTATGTCTATAAGGTCTGTGACACTACTGCAGTTTTATAACCAGTTAAAAGTCTCCAACTATCAATACTCTGAGTTAACAGAACTATGAGCCTAATTCTACCACCAAGAGTTAATGTTATACAATTAAATACAGATGAAGAGAAGAAAGATCAAAATTATGAGGTCACTTGGCCAGAATGACAGTGCTGACAAATGACACAGCCTCTGAATCAGGTCAGTCTAACTTTTAGGACATAGTTATATATCACTACTATAAGAGGGAAATGAAGGACCAATAAAGTACTGTGATAGGTGTAGAAGAAAGAAAGTTGACAGAGCAACTTTGGGGATAAGGAGAATTTCAACAGGTAGACAAAGAGAAACGATCCTCTGAAGCAGGGTAGAGCAATGGAGCCTAAAGGTGCTGGCTGTCTGGCTCTTAAGGCTGAGGCACAGACAGGACTCTTACAGCGGCAGTGAGTGTGGCCTGGAGTAAGCCCTGATTAACAATGAGGCTGTAAAGAAAAATAAGTTTGCAATAAACCGGGAGGTACCACAGGTAGGAGGAGAGGCACAGGGAAGCGAGATGCTGTGATAGATTAGGCAGAACTGCACGAGTTACAATGGGATGGGAAGAATGTAACAGGTTCTAGAGACAATAGTGAAGCAACACTTGCTAACTGATAGCTCACTGAATTTGGTGTAAGCAGCGAGAAAGGAGAAGGGATGCAGATGACTAAGTCTGGAGCTTGGGTGGTCATCCCTCCTTGAGTCCTCTCACCCCACTTCTATGCTACACCTCACACTTCAGCAACACCAATCAACATGTTGTTCCCTGCACATGCTGTGATTTCCCCCCTCTCATTTGAGTATGGACTTCCTTCTACCCAGAATGTTCTTTCCTGCTTTTCTTTCCTTGGGTAATTTCTCTTAAAGATCAGCTCAGGTATTATCTCCTCCAGAGCATCATCTAGTATTCACCCTGACCTTTACTGTCCACTTCACCATGCTGGCATCCCATATATCCCACCCATATTCTTATACATCCTGCATAAAACCCTATCATACCAATTTTCATGCTATATTTGCCAATTATGTCTACCTTACCTATTATACAGACTCCTCTGGCAGTAAGGACTGTGTCATATTCATCTTTATCCGAAGTATCTGGACACTTTGTACAGTTAATGTTCATTTAGTCAGCACATCAACAGAAAAAGATGAGTCAAGAATAGTGTTGGAAACTCACCAAGTTGTATATCTAAATATGTACAGCTTTCACACAATACCGCAATGGAAGTTTCCCATATCTCAATAAAGTGGCTTTTAAAAAAATGAAAAAGGAAAATGATTTTGCATGGAATTGGCTAAACAGTAAATAACTGATTCCAAAAAGAACAAACTGACTTCCAGAATCATTAAACTTGATGCCCATGTGGAATCTTCTTTGCCCACCTACAAACCACAGGAGTTCTAGAGCACTCTAATGACCAAAGATGCAAACCTGGGATTATCGATTGGGTAAGTCTAGATCAAGAAGAAAAGGTATCAAATGACTGAAATGACAGAGTTTAAATGTTAAATGTTTCCTTAGTTGGGTTTTAAACCTACGAAGATATTCTGGGTATAAAATATATTCTCTCCCAGAGGCCATAAGATAAGTAAAATTGATTAGTGTACAGCATGTACATATACAGAGTGCCAAACCCAATTTTGTACCACTCTTCTCCTACCTAATTTGCCTCTTTCAGCTCAACTCGCTTCCCAAATGCTGTGCCTTCCAGACAAACATGCCATCTCCCTTCTTCCCTCCTCCATGAAGCACTCATTTCCTCCCTACTATTTACCACCTGCCTCTGAACTTAGGAGATCTGGCTGCTTAACTGCACTAGCAAAAACAAGGAGCAAACTTGGTTTTTTACCATCCTCAGGGTACCAAATTGAGGCAACTGCACATTTATGGGCATTTAAGAAATTCTGACTGATTAATCTTGATCTATCAGCCACACTCTCATTGTCCCATTTCGCCAAAGCAGAACCATTAAAGTGGGCTGCTAAGGATTTGAGCAGGACTTCTCAATCTCAGCACAACTGACTTTTTGGGCTGGTTACTTGTTTGTTGTGGGGCTATCCTGTGTACAGAGGGATATTAGCAATATCCTTGACTTCTAACCACTAGTACTAGGAAAGCAGATGTCTCCAGACTGTGCCAAATGCTCCCTGGGAGAAAAAAATCACCCCTGGCTGAGAATCAATGGATTAGATGAAAGCAGAGAAAACAGGAAAAAAGGACAACATTCAGGATTCCCCTTTCATACTGATTCTATTCTGCTCTCGTATTTTACTAAATTTCTCAATCTTTATGTGCCTATAACTATAACAAAGGTTATGGTTACCTTTGTTACCCCTCTTCTATTTTCAGGACAACAAATTTAATGGACAAAATTATCCCTTGGGACAGCTACAATCAGCTGAAAACTCCCACAACCACTGGGTTCTCCTTATCACCTGGAACCTGTGGTACTGTGTGTGGATTGTTAATTACCACTATGTTGGATGCATTTTCGGAGAATGTGTAGCAGGCCACAGGAGTCAGCCTCAAAGAGAACTATACCAGGAGAGTAACTTGAAATTGGGGAATACTTTTTTTTTTAAAGATGTATTTATTTATGCATACAAGAGCTGAGGTATAGGCCAGAGATACCAGGGGTGAGAGGATTCACCAGAGACAGAGTGGGGAACAGAACAGGCAGATTGACTGAAATACACTGCTGAGAAGAGCGGGGGAGAGTCAGGAGAGGTCTGCTGTGCCATGTGGGTTGCTCCCTGGCCGGCTGGGGATAGAACTTGTGCTGCAGAGGCTGCGGATTGCTTCATAGTGCTGTGCTTAACCCCCTGCGCCATGAGGGAGGCCTGAAATTGGGGGATACTTTTCAATCTTTATTAAATGCTTATTCTGTGCCAGGTCCTGTAACAAGTTCAGTATAACAGGTATCTGGGTCTGATTCCAGAGAGCTTTGCAGTTCAGGAGAACAGAATTACTGATAAATAATTACAACTATGTATCAAGGCCCTACTGATCTACAGAGGATGGAAAGATATTCTGGAGAGAAGACAGAGGAATGAAGCAGGCACGTCTGAGGAATTGTTGTATGTATTGGTAGAAATGCATGGTTGTGGTTTAAAAACATAAAGAATAGAAAGTAGTAGTTTGGGTCCAACTGAATAGTTAGTTAGAACTAAACAATGAATTCAAGTGCTAAGAGAATAATCACTTTGAAATCAAAACTTCTGTGCTGAATTAACAGACATATCATAAAGAACCAAGAAACAAGAAGACAAACAACAGCAAAAATAAAAAGAAATTCTGCTTAATTCATAAACAAGTAAGGAATACTATACTTTATGTCTTGACATGGATGATGGCCTTGAAAACGTTTACCTGTAGACATAATGGTGTTTATGATCTATAATCTTTTCTGCAAGTACTTCACACAGCAATCAGAAAAGTTAAGAAAACTACATACGCCTGGGTTTGGCATTTGTTGAAGTGACTGAGAGAAGAGTACACATGGAGAAGGGAGATGACGCTTTTCGCGTTTAGGAGGCCAGGCTCATCCACCACTCTCTTCATGACCAAATCCATCAATGCAACAGGTCGAAAGCCAAGGTTTTCGAATGAAATGAGGAGAAAAAGAACCTTAAGGAGGGAATAAAGGGAACAGTTTTTAACAAATATTATATGCTAATAAGTCTTTTAATCTCAAAAATTTTACAGCAATAGAACTGTCCTGACTGAAGCTGTTCCCTAAAAAGGACAGTTATCTTTTCCTCACAAAATCTGTTCCATTGACTCTTGAATCAGGTACCTAGCTAACAAGCAATCTCTTTTTATAAGCTGAGAATCAGTGCACACACTAGTTTCCATATTTTAATTTTATTTAAAAATACATCCTCTCCTAGGGCCTCCCTGGTGGCGCAAGGGGTTAAGCACCACACTATGAAACAATCTGCAGCCTCTGCAGCATGAGTTTGATCCCCAGCCGGCCAGGGAGCAACCCACATGTCGCAGCAGACCTCTCCTGACTCACCCCTGCTCTTCTCAGCAGTGTACTTTGGTCACTCTGCCTGTTCTGTTCCCCACTCTGTTTCTCTTGTGAACCCTTTCACCCCCCGCATCTCTGGCCTGTACCCCAGCTCTTGCATGTATAAATAAATAAATCTTTAAAAAAAAAAAATCCTCTCCTATATGCTCTCCATTTAACAGATCTGAAAATTACTTTTAAATATAACTTTTCTAAAGTTTTTCAAAATGACCAACTCAATTTTGAACTGTTCCCCCTCCACATTTAGACACTTCCTAGACTCTAGTATATGAAGTAACTCAAAATTTCCTGTATACAATATTAATTTCTATAAATGAAAATAAAGTTGAAATACTATGATTAAAATAAATTTTTCAGTTGACCTCACATTTCCCTCCTGGTCATCCTCACAATTAGCACTTCTCTTTCAAAACTGAGTTTCTGTGGTAAACTCAATATTCACCCTCACCTCCAAAGCAAGCTGAACCTAGAGACAGCCAGGTTACCATTACCTCATTGCAAAAAGAAGTTTCTATCAGGCACTTCATTGAGATCTCTGTACTATCAACATGGCCCCTTAATTTGAAGGCATTTACGTTGGAGGAAATAAAAAGCCCATCCATAAACAGAAAATAGACATAATCATTAAGTATGATCTTATTTTTCAAAAAGCATAAGCCTGCCATATTGTCCATCTTTATTATTTTACATCTAACATAAAAAAGTGGAAAAACTGAAAAAAAATCCTAATTATCCAACCAAAGTAATATATAACCTTTTGAAAAACAGAAGAGCAAACATTAGACAATATAATTTTTATTTCTGATAGAAGGTCAAAGATTTGAATACTATATTAACAGGTAATCCCCCCACAGATATAAACAAGAACTAATTTTTCAAAAGTAAATTTAGCACTGGAATATTTTGGCATATTAAATGCTATAATGCCAGCAGAGAAATACTTAGAATGCTAAATGAATTAATATGCTCATGAATTAGTATAAAAGTTTCTGAGGTGTGTTTTAAAATGTGAACATACATACTTGTTTCAACTTCCAGATGTCAAAAGTTGTAGTCACATAATCTGCTATTCCCTTGAAAAGATCTACATTATAGTATCGGAGGTCTCTGCAAGACTGCAATATGTTGAGTAATATTTTTAAAGGACACCCATGGATATTACCTTTAAGAATGAATTAAGAATGAATTAATGAATTAAATACACACAAATTACCAGATGGTTTTGAATATATAATCCAATATACCCTATACTCAAAGAAAATAACAGCACTATATTTTAATTAAGAAATGTTGGACAAAAATAATATTTTAGAGCTAACTGTATCATCAGGTATTATTCTTATAACAGCAATTTGTTTAGATCAAACGAAACAAACGTAGTCCAGAACAGTATATCAGGTACTACAAATCATGAATAAAATGCCCCTTACCTACCACCATTTTACTGCATTCATTCAGAAGTACAACAGAACGGTAGTTCATGGCAGCTAGTACCTCAAACATGCGCTGGCTATTCAAAAGAGAAAATCTGTCTAATTCTCTCAAGGCTTTCATCTAAAGATAAACAAAAAATTAAGATATCATTTGTGGCAAAATAAATAAAAACTAAAACTTTGTTTTTTAAAAAAAACTTATTTTTAAATAAAAGATAACATTTGAGCAAAATGACTCAGAAATACAAAACATATATACACATTTATATATACAGATAACTATATCTACTACTATTGTTTCACTTTAGCGAAGTCAAACCCAAACCCACAACAATCTCTCCCTTAAAAAGCTGACTTTAGGAAGTTATAGCAGGTCAGAAGAAATACATATATAGTTACAATATGTATTTATCTTTACTCTTGTTATGTATTTTTTTTATTGCGGTAATATTGGTTTACAACACTGTATATGATTCAGAGGTATAGGGTCACATCTCTTCACATGTATGTTACCACACCACACCTACTAGCAAGAGGCCCATAGTCCTCTGCCAGAGTACATGGGGTACCCTCCCCTTTACTCCTCACCCCCATTCTACCTCAATTGTACAGTCAGATTTCTACAATTTGTTTTGGTTTAGTTTTGTCTATTCCTTTCTTTGTTTCTCTATGTTCCTTATGAGTGCATTTTTTTTTTTTTCAAATGTCACCAAATAGAGAAATTTCAGAAGATATTTACCTCCAGTTTCTTTTTTAGAGAATCTGGTGCATCTTTTCCAATACATTTCATCACAGCTTGTAATGTGAAAACACGTTCTATATTCCAAACTTGCTGCTCAACTAGGATCCTGTCATCAAGCACAATAAATACACTACAATCCTAGGATCTTAAAATCAGAAGAAAAATCTTAAAAGTCATTTGTTCCTCCAGCTCCTACTTCTAGGCAAGGATGATGAAGCCCGTAAAAATGATCTATCTACCTGCAAGTAGTTAGTGTAAATAGTTAGTGAAAGATCCAGGGCCAGTTCTGGAACTATTTTCTTTCACATTATTCTGTTCTCTTTACAGATGAACAAATTATTCCAGGAAGTTATAGTAAGATATCCCAAAGCATACTCCATGAAAGAAGAAATTAAATATTATTTTCACTGACCTATGACATTAGATCCTTTTCAAACTGGCCTAGTGTCATGTATCCACACAGTACCCATATAATCACCATGAATTGAATACGTATTAACTCCACCCCAGCCCATATCAGTACTGTTTTATTTTATTTTTCAATGTTACATCTTTTTTTCTGGCAGACACCAAAAGAAGTATTTCCAGCATTATGTGATCCAGAGTCAGGATTTTAAGTTTAAGATGGTGGCAATAAAGACTAACTACCAACAAAGACTTCCCCCACCCTCAAAAAAGCAGCATAGCCTTCATCTTGGTTTTTGATTCAAGATAAACAGAGAAAGCCACACAAAGAAAGTCTAAGTGTTCTCACCGCAGTCCTGCTCGAAGAACATCCACATTCTTGCATGGCTCCATTGCCTCTAAAACAGCTGACAAAACTGAAAGACATTTCTCATCACACTCATTGATACGTTCCTATTGAAATATAATTACAAAACACTCAGATGAGGAGCCCATAGTTGACTATCTCACCCAACCAACACCAAGGAACTGATGCTTTCACTAAGGATTAAGCATCAAAGCAGTAATTCATACAATCAGTACACAATAAACAGCATATTTGGGAAATTGATGTCATATGTAAGTAAATTTTCCAAATAACTGATACATACTTTTTCATATCTACTTTTTTACAGTTACCATTAACAATGAAAAGTCATTTGATATTGATTCTATTCCTCTGATAAGAAAATTTCTACCTCTTCTTAGGACCTGAAGATATCATGAAGACAAAAAATACAGTGATATAAAAGCTACTGAGGCACACAGGGAAATTTTCCCAGCCCCAAGACTATCTGTGCCCTTTCAATTTCCAGTATTCTTTGCTGGGTATCAAACTGAAACTTCAGCAACTTCACATTCATACCTGTTATCACATTTTACCCCACTCTCTGGGTTCTGGCTCCACAGATCCTTGTTTTAGGTTCTCTGGATTAGGAAGCTAATTTAGATTCCAGAAATGACAGTGGGCATAATTTGGAAAGTGAATAATAACAACACAGCTTACCGAGTGCTCTATAATTTAATCACAATTAGTTTTCTACATCTCACAAGGTAAGTTACAATCACCTGTGAAACTTGGGCTGAAAGAGTTATGCTCCTTTGTTAGTTACATAACTAACAAGTTACAAAGTTTCAAGTCAGAACCAGATAATGTTAAAAAATGGATAAACAGGTTGGGAGTGGAAGGTCTCATTCCCTCAATATCTGCGGTGAAAGGAAAGATCACTTGGCTATATGTTCAAAGGGCAAATTCAATGATGACACATGGTCCTTTCATCTCTAGCTAAAATGTCTTTACCACATTCCAACAGGTCAGTGAGACATAATCACACATACAGGTATTTGGACCCCAAACATCCACTGCTCACACCTCACTGATGCAGCTGCTATGCTAATGTGAGCACCTGGTGAAAATTAATAACATCAACACTGATGAGGTCAAGTGACTTAGTAGAATCACTTTTAAGTAACTATATAGAGAACACAGTTTACCAAACAAACAGGGATAGTCTGTGGTTTAAACAGAGAACAAAAATTTTGAAAATCAGTTTTGTAAAAAAGTTAAAGTTAAAAACCTTCATACCCCTATGACCCATTTGTTGAATTCTATTGGATAGGATATATGTCAGATCATCCTCAGATACTCTTGTCTTTTAAAAAGTAATTTCATTATGATCACTAAATTTCCTGAAGTACCCACTCTTAAGAGGTTATAAACTATCCTCTCCTCATCACATCGGCATTATTTCAGGGACATCAAACACAGACTCCCTTACTGGAACTTAAGCACGGCTCCGCCATCAATTTCATCCATCTTCCAATACACTTTCCACTCCTACAGTGATCAAAAATATAAGTCTGTGCATGTTGACCCTTTGCTTAAAATACTGCAATGGATCGCCATTGCCTATAGGATAAATCCAAAGTCCTCATACAAGCATAAAAGATTGCTTATGAAGGCTGCTTGTTCTGGCTTCATGTCTTGCCAGTACACCCCCTTACCTTTCTCCCCTGATCACCATATACACAATTTCTTCCCCACTTCCTCCAACACAATCCCATCATTCGGTACTTCAGCTACAATGAACTACTTTTGGCTCCCAAACTTGCCAAACTTTCACTTTGTGATGCTGATCACACATCTTCTCAGGAGAAAACACCACTATGCTATCCATCCTGTCGCAAACTGTTGGTCATTCCCTGGACTCGGCTTACACATCCTCTCCTACTGGGCTTGAATCCTAGTTCTGCCATGGATAGGTATCTGCTAATTCACAAGCAAACATTTATCAAGTATCTACAAATATATTAACAGGTGATCCTGGGCAAATTATTTGGCCTCAAAAAGCCTCAATTTCCTAATTAGTGAGATGAAAATAACAAGGCCTGTTTTAAAAGGCTTAGGATTACATAAGGCAATTTTGTTTGCAAACTTTGTACAAATATCTGCTTCAAACACTGATCCTGTCTACTCCTGCTCCTCCATCACCTCTTCCCATCATGGTGGCCTTCTGCACAGCCTTGAAGTCCCTACTGTACAGTTCATAAAACTGTATTTTTCTTTCATTGAAAGTGCCACCCGGCCACTATATTGTTTACAACTGTATTTCCTTGTATCCAGCACCGTGCCTATCACATACTAAATGTATGACTCATTAAATGAATATGCATTATTTTTGTTGCCTACAAAAGATGTGTTCCCTTCTACATGATAAAGGCAGAAATCAAGTCTTCTATACTTTTATATCCCTAGTGATAAGTGCAATAACTGATAAATAGTTGACACCCAATAAATGTGTACAGCATGCATAAATGAATCTACTAGCTGGAGGCTTTAGCTGTGTTGTTTAACATCACTAAGTTCATTTCATCACCTGCAAAACTGAGGCAACATCAAACTTGCAGGGTTCTAGAGAGAATTAAATAAAATTATATAACATGTAGGTACTTAAGACCTATTAGTTCCCTTTCCCTCCCTTCTCTCCTGCCTTCAACCACACATCTTTTCCGTGTATATTTTGAATCTCTCCTCACTTTAATTTATTCAATATCACTCAACCCTGGAAAGAAAAAATGGGGCAAGCTTTCATAAATTTCCATAGCAAAAGGAAGTAAAAGTTCTAGCTAACGTAAGGTCTCTAAATCATGTTTTACACACACACACACACACACCACACAGAAACAAATATAAAGGAAAATACCAAACCACTGGTAGTCCTCATAAAGGAGACTACTTTTTCTACTTCCCTCATTTTGTCAAGATATGCCAGTTTGACTTAAAGAATATTTAAGTTTCCTTTTGATTTTACCTGGACCACCCTCAGCAAAGTCTGTACCAGCAGAGTGTTCTGAGGGATTCCAAGCTTCACTACAGCAAGAAAACTGAACATCAGGTGGTCATAGCGCATGATCTTGGCTTCTCTCATCACGTGTTCACACAGCTGGTTAAACGCAGGGTGGTTAAACATCAGTTGTTTTTCAAAGCGCTTCTGGTCATTGGACATCCTTTTGGCAATGGTCCACATTGCTGAGAAATAGTTACTACTAGGAAATGTAGGTGCTTTTGAAAATGAATCTAACACATCACTAAGGGAATTACACTCCCGACACAATTTACTAACTGTGACTGTGGGTGGTCTTGTTTCCTTGATGAGAACACCTTTATCGGAGTTTTCATGATGCAAATTTATTTTCTTCAATTCTTCATCAGAGAAAACAGAGTGCTTTGAGTCAAAGGACAGTTTTCTAGGACAAAGTAGCCTCTCAGCTGAAAGGACTGCTAGAGTTCTTATACCCTTTCTTTGAAAATCATCACCTCCTGGTTTAAATATTAAGGCATACTGAAAAAGATATCTAATAGATGATAGCATACTGTTATCCAAGTTGTTTAACAGAAGATTTCTTAAGTTCCAGCTTGAATAAATGATTTTTGGTCTGCAAAGTCCCAAAGAATACAGTCTTATGGTCTTGCTTGTTGGAACTAAAGTACTGAATTGTCTGAGATTCCATAAAAAGGAACCTGCTCTGTTATTCATTTTGCTTTCCACGGAAACACTTTCAAATGACTAACGTAGTCAATATTTCACAAGCGCTGCTTCTGCTACACCATCATTTTCCTGTATGGGAAAGGGTTGTGAAAGAGGTAAAAATTATAGAAAAACTTCCACTTAAAGAAATGACATGCACTTAACGGAGACTAAAATGGGAACCTATGTAAACTTTAAAGATTTATATTAAACTTGTGAAACTATTTTCAACACGGGCTTCTTCTTCTCCCATCACAACGTGTACACTTTTTAAAGAAGCCAGGTTACTATAAAAGTAATGTTATATAAAAACAACTTAAAATAAGGGGATTTCCAGTGGGAATAAGTTTAACAAAGCTGCCTCTGCAGGAGGGAATTTATATTAGCATTGCTAGGAAATGTCTGCAATGAAAATTAAGGGTTTAATGTTAACGAACACTTCCAACATCAGGGTTTAACAAAGGTCGAACCTGACGGTTAGAATTAGGGAATTGACAAGGAGAAAGCAACAAACGAAAGCGATGCGGGCAGGCGGAGACACCTGTCAGTGGTCACCAGAAAACCTAGGCAAGGAACCCGTCCTTTCGGAGCTAAGTCGCCCTGTCTTAACCCACCTCTCTAAACTCATGCTCGGGAAACTCCTGAGACCGCGCTGCGCAGAGTAAGAAGTCTAAGGCCTTAAAACACCAGCGGCCCAGTCTCTTGCCGCCCTCCACTCACCCTAGCGCAGAACCGCGTGCTTTCATACAGGCGCGGCCATGACAGCGTCCCCGCGACCGCGATATCGCGAGATCTACGGATGGTTTTATGGGTCAAAAAGCGTACTTCGCGCAGCGTTTCTTTACGAAAAGACTGCCTGTCAAAGAAAATGACTCGTTTTCTTGCCTGCAGGGAAAGGCGTAGAAGACTACAGGGATTTTACAGTGCATGTTTTATGGTGTACCCCAACATTTAGCCACCTCTCCCACTAGGAAACAGACCCTGGAAACCCCCACCCCATGTTCAAGTTCAGAATGCGCCTGCGCGCTGCGCCCACTGTGTGGTTGCCAGGAGACCGCGAAGCCGCGGTTCTTGCCCGGGTTGCTGTTTCGCGATGGCCAAGTTCGTGCTCGCGGGTGAGTGATCCCGGCGTCCATGCTCAGATCACTCAGAACAGCGACACCTGCTCGCCTCCTGTATTTGCTCCGCAGTGATCTTAATTGACTGCATGAACCACCCCAGGCTTTCTTAGGCACTCATTTAAAGGTGTTTACTAGGTAGTGACCCTGTGCAAAGCACCGAGAGACATTGGGGACACAGTGGGAGGAAATACACATCCCTGCCTTGGAGGAGCCTTAAGGAGCTCCTTAAGGAGCCTTACATGCTCCTTAAGGAGCATGTAAACAAGTAATTCTGCTAGGGTGTGATGAAGGCAATAAGAAAGACATGCATGGAACTTTGGCAGTAATTACAGAAACTAATTTGTGAAGTGTAAGGGCAGGAATGGACACAGGGCAGGCTTCTGATCCAGCAGACCTGGTAAAGGAGGAGTCAGAGTCCTCAGTGGGTTTTACAGGTCTTTTATTGGGGTTCACCAGGCATACGGCAGGCAGGAGTGCTGGGAGGCTGGCCGGCCTCCCAGCCCCCAGCAAGTCTTCACTCTGGGCTCTCCGACCTTCTCTCTCCCTGGGCTTCTGCTGCTTCTCCGCTTCTCTTTCAGTTTCTACTGGCGTCCCTGTGACGCCGCCCTTAAAAGCCCAGTCTCAGCCCAGGTGAATCCCATCTACCTATGTCCACACCCTATTCCAGGTGCCCGCCATCAGGCAGGCATTCAGGACCACAGGGATCCATCATCTATCCTGATGGCGGGAGGGCAGAAATCCTGACATTTTTCCTTACCCTACATGAAGTTTGGGGATAAAGACAAAGAGACTAGAAATCTCACAGCCTATTGGGGAATCTGGTGTGAAGGAAGTGACTGGACCTGGGGCTAGAACAGGAGCAGAATCCAGATCTTTGCCCCTCAATTACACCAAGCAGTGATCTTTGAACTGTATCTTGAAAGCAATGAGGAATCATTGAAAAATTTTAAGCCGGAGAGTATCCTTAATGGATTTGCATTTTAGAAAGTCTACCTAGTCAACAATGAAGATATGACTGGCATCTATCTAGAAAACCAGTGAAGAGGCTTTTACTACAGCAGTTTACTGTACCTGCCTCCTTCCCGTCTCAGCAAATTTCTTGTAAGCATAGATGGCTTTTCGCTCTCCAGATCCTCTTTCTATTCAATCTGGCTTTTATTTCTACCTCCTTAAAGAAACAAGTATCCAGGGACATCTACAGAAGCTATTCAGTTCTTGTCTTATTCCTCTTGTCTCTTAATCACTCTGATCCATTAATGGAATTGACATCTCCCACCTGCCAGGGACTCCATTATTCTTTGTGTTTCCATTCTGAAGCTTATTTCTGAGCACTGACTGACTGCCAGTAAGACAGTGGTAAACAAACTTACAAAGAATATTGTATTTGTGGCTGTGGTAGGGCAGGATTCTGTAGGAGCAGTGGCAATGGCAAGGGACCTTATTTAGAAGTTGAGGGTTTCTCAGAAGGAGTGATTTCTAAGCAGAGACCTGCAAGATGATAAAGCGTTACCTAGCAGGAAGGAGGACAATAATTTAGGCGTGGTTAGTATGGAGTGAGGTTAGAATAAAACTGGTTTGTCATGATGAGTGAGCATACACAATAACCAGAACATTGAAATAGATTTAGAAGGACTGCAGCAAAGAAGACATGAAAGAATAGCATACACTGAAACCAGAGCTAGATGTAGATTCTTGTGATACATGTTCAGTATTTTAGACTTTATCCAAAGTACATGAAAGGTTCTTGGAAGGAGAAAAAATAATCAAATTCACCTTTAGCTGAGTGTTGTCACTACAGTGTGGAAAGAGAAAAACTGGTTAAGAGACTGGCACTATGATCTGGGAAGGAGATAATAGTGACCTGGCCCAGGATGGTATGCAATGGAAATGGAAAGAAGCCAGTGAATTGGAGAGGCAGAATCTACAGAACTAGATGTCTGATTAGGTGGGGAAAGGCAAGTTATTGAGAAGAATAAAATTATTCCCAACCATCAGTTTAGATAATGGGGTAGATGGGAAGTCACTGAATAAAAAGGAAAAGTAGGCTTATACTCTAGAAACTCTTAATACTTGGAAACTCTTAGATAACAGGGTATAGGGAGGCAAGAAAGAACATAAGAGAAGGAACATACTTAGTGGAAAGTGGTGACAAAATCTGTTGCAGACATCCTGAGTGCTGTGAGATATTCAGATGGAGATGGAATAATACAGGAAACTATAGACCTTAAGATAAGGAATTCAATCTGAACTAGAAATACAGATTCATATTTGAAACCTTCAGAGTGGAGGAGATTCACCAGGAAAAAATATGCAGGGTATAAAAAAGAATTGCTTTGCAGAATGATAGCATTTTAGTGGATTGATAAGGAATAGGAACCTACAAGATATAGTGAGAAATGACCAAAGAAGTAGGAAGAAAATCTGAAGAATGCCTCCACCGTAGTGACATTTCAAAAAAGTAGAAGGGAGGCAAATGCTATGAAGGTTCAACAAAATAAGGATCAAAAGTTTTCATTGGATTTTGTGAAATGAAAATCTAGATCTTCTAGAGAATTTTAGAAAGGCCAGATTGCAAGATGAAAAAATAAATTCAAGTGAAGAAAGGGGTAGCATTGTAGGCAATGCTTTTAAAAGTTTTAGTAGAAAAAGGCAGGTGGAAGTCCAAATCTAGAAGAGGGTATGGACTTTTGGGTTTTAAGAACACGAGAAACATAAATGAAGAGTATATTTCAATATGATAGAAAGAGACATTAGAAATAGAGAAAAAATACTAAGAAGAAGGATAATCAAAGGAGCAGCTTTGGTGGCAATTCTAGAGGCAAAGAAGGGTGATGTGCAGAGCATAAATTGTGAGATAAAACCTAGACAGGAATAAGACCCCACTTCTGTTGAATAGGGGAAAGAAGGAAAAGATATACAGAAGCAGACAAGCTTGTAGGTGTGATGGCAGGAGGCTAGGATAATCCCCACCTAATGTTTTCTTTATTTGTTTTTATTTTTGTATGATTTGGCTTAGTCTTTGTAAAAAGCAAGATTGTCTATTGTCTTTTGCTAGTGAGGGGGTGTGGAGAGAAGGAAGAGGTTTGAAGGAAGTGGATAAAGTTTAGAACCATAATTGTGCAAAACAGAAGTGTGTGCTAATAAGAGAAACGGGGGTCTACAGGCAGAGTTGATGCACCAGTTCAATCTGGTGGTTGTGAAATTTTAATGGTGCCTCTCGGCTTGGTTCCACCAGCTTTTCCCATGACGCTTAGCAGATAGAACCCAGACAGAGAAAAGTCAGATAATTAGGTTCTTCCAGGGGGAGGGACTTTACCAAGCTGATTTTCCAGCAGTATTGTGGGTGTGATAATTTAAGACATATGCCAGAAGGTGGTATGAATTCATGAAGCATGGATTTGAATTAGACAGGGAGACAAATAAGTGCAGGTTGAAAGTGGTTGATGGCCTAGAAGTCACCATGATGTTTAAGAACTGGTGACTGGGAGTACCTCGGGAAGAGTACTGTAGAGAGGATTCTGCACTTGGCCCTTGCTCCTCTGCTCTACCAGACACCTAGTCCCACCCATTTTGGTGGCTTTAATGTCCTGTGTGTTGATGGCTGCAAAATTTGCATCTTAAGCCTTTACATGGGGCCTGCACTTCAGACTTACAGATCTAGCTATCTGCTGGTCACAGCCACATAGGTATACTAGATACCTCCAATGGCACTTGTCTGTAATTAAACTCCTCACCCATGATTTCTCTCTAATAAAGTCAGTATCATCTTCCCAAGCCAGAAAACACATGTTGTCCCAGATGCTTTTTCTCCCTCAACTTCTCCTTCCCCCAATACGTCCTGCCACACATTTCAAATCCACATGTGATTTTGCCACCACTCCTCACTTCAAACTGCCTTCTAGTGGCTACTAGTGAACAGTTCATTGTTAGGACTTCATGCTTAAATAGCAACAGGACAGCCTCTTAGAGGAAGTGAGGTCTAACATAGTATTGGAGGAGAGTAAATACTCAGTAGTCTTTTTTTTTCCCCTTTCTCATTTTAATACTAAAGATTCTGACCGCCTAGGAAATTTATTTTATTTGGATCAATGTAATAAAAATCAAAATTTCTTGTGGTGGCAGCTTATATTGTTACTTTATGGACTAAAGTATAGCATAACTGTATGATTCATTCTGCAAGTATGTGAAAAATACTTAAGAAAACATTGCTAATTTGAACTCTTTTAGGTAGAGCAGACTGCCCATATTATGCTAAAGCAGAACTTCTGGCAGACTATTTACACAAGAATCTTCCTGATTTCCAGATACATAAAATTATGCAACATCCTGATGTTTGGGAGGTAAGAAGCCTTTACACTTTGTTAAACTCATACATGCACAAAAATGTGTTCTAACTTGATTAAATTTTATTAGCTAATGTATTAGGTAGTTTTTACTAATCAATGTTCACATACTGCAGATACTTTAATACTAATAAAATATATCTCTACTATCAGCCTGAAAATGTTATTATTTCTTCCTAAAGCCTAGTAGAACAAATGAGAACCTGACCAAGTGGAATAAATTTGATTTCCCCGACCCTCCACCCCCCAGCCCCCGAACTTACATTGCAATTTAGCTTTTCATTCTCCTTCAGTATTGATTTCTAATGACATGAGGCACTGGTTTCATCGAAAGTCCCCTCCTTGGGACTCTGTTTCCCCACAAATAGACTGAAATGGAGATGTGGGTGAAGGGGTTTCCTTTACTGTGAAATGCTCTTGAGAACAACATCCTGGGAAGGCATGAGAGCAGCAGGATTGAGCCACAGAGCCACAGAGCAGAACTGGAGAACAGCTGTGCCAGTGACCTCAGCCTGTCCTCCTAGGGAACTCAAGCTGAGGTGGCCCTTCAGAGAGATCCCAAATACAGAGATACCCACAGTTAACCGTAGTTGATGCAGGCTGCCCCTGGGAAAGGGATTTAACCCTGGGCAAGGGAACCTCCTTTGACAGAGGCCAGTTCCTAGAGAAAGACTCAGCTTTGGGCCATCAGTAGCCAGTACACACAGTGGGTGTTGTAATGAGTGCCTTGGTCACCATGGGGAGTCTGAACTATTTACTGGAAAATTTATGACACATTTTTGCATAGAAAACATAGAAAAAAATATGTCATTACATTTCCGACAACCCAATACGTGTAATAGGATCTGCTCGGTTCACCAATTGTGACTTTCGGATCCACATGCTCCATGTAATTCATTCATCTGGGAACAACTTTTCCAGGATTTCAATTGGCGTCCCTCCCTGTTTAATTTACAAGAGGAAGGTTAGTCAAATGCATATCATTTCAGAGCCTTAACTGCACGCATCACCTTTCCTCTCTACTATCCATATGGACTCCCCTCACCTTCTGCTGGCCTGACTTACTTGATGGGGTGACCTCCACACACCTGCATCCTTGGAGGTCTGAGCTCTAATCACTATTCCTTTTTTCAGGATGTGAATGCTGCATTTGTCCATTTACTAACAAAACTGAGCAGTTCCAAAATGCCTGAATGGGTCACCTAGGTGCCAAATGGTCTCTCCTGCTCACATTGGGTAGTAGCTGACCTTCTTGCTTATGATCCCCAGGACTGATTAGTGCATTCAATGTAGTAACTCCTGCTTTCTTGGCACAGGAGCTCAATGTGACCAAGTGGCAGCCATAGTTTAAAATTTAATAGGCTTGGGCTTCCCCGGTGGTGCAGCGATTGAGCGCTGGGTTGCGAAGCTGCCTGAAGCCTCTGTGGTGCCGGTTCGATCCCCGGCTGCTCCCCAGCCCCCGGAGGAGGGTCCCGCATGGCGCGCAGACCTCTCCTGCCGCCCGCTGCTCCCCTCAGCAGTGTACTTCGGTCCTTCTGCCTGCTCTGCTCCCCGCTCTGGCTCTGGTGAATTCTCTCACCCTCCTGCGCTTCTGACTGTACCCAGTGCTTGTATAAATAAATAAATAAATAAATAAATCTTTAAAAAATAATAAAATAAAATTTAATAGGCTCTTCCTTCTAGAACCTCCCTCTGCCTACCCACCATGCTCCTCTACACGCATGTGCAAGTGCGTGTGCATGTGTCTGTGTGTGCACGCACACACAGATTCAGACCCACAGAGTCTAGAGTGAGGGAATTTTTGGAAGCACAAATTTCTCCATATAGGTTACTAGAGTGATGATAAACAGAGTAACTCTTAATTCCACCCCTTGTTTCCTGGATTTATATATTCAACATGTTGAGGCAAAACATTATATTGATTTATGGTATACTTTGCATCCTGAAAAATGATGCTCTAGCAAGATATCAGTCTCCAAGCTGGTGCCTGTACCTTCAGTGGGCTTTCCACTCCCTCTGTCAGGCTGTCAGTGGAGCAATAGGTGATAAGGCCAGTGGAATCCATGGTTATGTGCAAAATGCCTCTCTCTGAAGTGGCTCCCTTGAGTGATATTAAACATTCTGTTTAACCAGTCCCATAGATGTTCTTGAACAGGGTGTCTGAACTCTCTACAAAGCAGGAAAGGCAACACACACACACACAGACACACACACACACAATTGCAGTCCTTGTCACTTTGCTGAATACAGTATTTTACAGTATTCCAGGCTGGTAGGTTTCCAGCTTTACAAAGCAGCACATCTGCCCCAGCTGCCATTTTACTAGCTTTTGGTGCCTTCTTCCATGGCAGTTCTCACATTTTTCTTTGATTTAACGTGAACCATCACTTTCTCCAAGCTTTTGAATGTCATCCTAACAACATGATATCACTGTCTTCTGAGGTCCTTCCAAGTGGTGCAGAAGAGTGATTCATTTCAATAATTCTCTTTTGCCCAACTTTCTGGACCCTCAGGGTCCGGCCCTGAACTATTCTCCCAGCTTCTGCCAGGACATCAACACAAGCAGATTTGTGCTGAAGGTCCTTGGGGGTAGAGTCCCTTTTCTCCACAGGCCAAGCTCATCACCTGTGACCAGAGGAACATGGTGACACCTCATAGCAGCACCCACTGCCTTATGGTGGGATAAAGGCTTAGGGACATTTAAGAGCAATCAGGGAAATCCCTTTCTAAGGTTTTATTTCTAAGGTAACCCTGTTACATATGCCCCCAAAGACAAGAACGTTATTATGTACTGTACCCTGAAGAAGAATTTTGCTCTCTGTCTTATGTCGTTGGAATGCCGTTTCCACAAACCAGATAATCATTATTTAAACTTTTTCTACTAAACATTAATAGAAATCGCCAGATAACTCTTAGCTCATTGATTCAGCCTGAACAAGATAATCTATACTCACATATTTGGAGAGCAATATCAAATGTATGTGATCCAAGCCTGGAAATATTTCATAGAGAAGAAGCTGAATTAAGTTGAATAGTTTGGATATCGGTTGAGATAGAAGATTTGGCTCCAGGTCTCCTCAGCCAGAGAGCAATTTTCAGTACTTTTATTTTGTCAAGGAATTTGAAGAATATTCTTTCTGCTTTGTTTATTTTGCTATTTAACACATCACTATTTCTCTGTATTTGCATTTTACAGCTTAAAATACCTAATTTTTAAAATTATATCTACACAGTGTAATTAAAAACAAGCTAGTATCTTAGTGTTTGCATTCCTGAGAAATGCATTGAATCCTGAGCGAGATTTCATGTATGACTTCCCTTGAAATATCATTCAATAGGATTGGCTGAAAGATTTGTGTGAAAAGAATAAATGGAATCACAAAAAGTCCCCCATCATCTGGAGAGAGCTGTTGGATCGTGGAGGAAAGGGTTTGCTTTTGGGAGGATACAATGAGTTCTTGGAGCATGCCCAGGTACATAAATCAACTTACCTGTTCAAAATATTATTGTTCTCTCACTTTATCTTATATTTCAAATGTCTTACTTTCTAAGGTATTCTCTTAGGTCACTTTTCACTTTATTCTGACCTTAAATAAGAACTTTGCATTATAGGGCCTCCCTGGTGGCGCAGCGGTTGAGCGCTGGGTTGCGAAGCTGCCTGCAGCCTCTGCAGCGCCGGTTTGATCCCCGGCTACTCCCCGGCCACCGGAGGAGGGTCCCACATGGCGCGCAGACCTCTCCTGCCGCCCGCTGCTCCCCTCAGCAGTGTACTTCGGTCCTTCTGCCTGCTCTGCTCCCCGCTCTGGCTCTGGTGAATTCTCTCACCCTCCCGCGCTTCTGACTGTACCCCAGTACTTGTATAAATAAATAAATAAATAAATCTTTAAAAAAAAAAAAAAAGAACTTTGCATTATAGCCATTATCAGCTAATTATTTCAACCCTTGTGTTGTCTTTTTCTTTCCCAATTACTTAGCTGTACTATAGTGTCACCTCTAGCATGACAACTGAGCTGATGAAGCTAATTGCTAAAGAGAACCTTCAAACGCATAAAGAACTAGAGCTAGAGAAAGAAGAAGCTCTGCAATGTCACGTCAACCCCTTGCAGGTCTGGATCACCAGGTGGGACAGTCCAACCCAGGAATATAAAGTCTTTTATAGTTAGAGAGGACAATGAAGTGTGATTTCATGATGGAAGAATATTTGAATGTCAAGTTTGACATTTGAATGCATGTGTATAGGCATGTGTGCATGTATTTATCTGTATATATGTTTATGGATAGATATACCTTTGTGTATATACATATGTATCTCCCAATATAGCTCCAATTAGGGGTTTTAGAATATGTATTGATTTGACACATGTGTATATATACATGCACATATATACATGTTAAATATATACATCTATATGAAATCTAAGAGTAATTTTATAGCAAAGATATTTACTTTGCATAACTGTCTCCAGCTGCTCTGGTTCCATCATTCTGTCTCTTGTGCTGTTTGCTTGCTACTGTTATTCTTGCTCTGCCTTGCTGTCCCTTCCCCCCTCCTCCTCCCTCTCCCTGCCAATCTCACAGACTCTACCACTTGCAAGAACTGTCCCTACTCTTCCTTAGGTACCCATTTTCTGCAACCCCACTCCCTCGTCTCTCGTGTACGCTTCTTCTCACTTTGCCCCTCATTGCTCTCAGTCTCAGGCATGTGCAGTCTTCGTCATCACTTTTTCTCCTGTCTTGTACTCTCTCTCCATCTCCTGCTGCTGGTCCTGCTCCATTTCTTCTTCCCCTTTTCTTCTATTTCTTCTACCCCCACAATCTGTCCTTCACAGTGTTCTCACTCTACTTGTGTGTGTCCTAATAGACACACACCTTTGAAAACTTATTTATTATTATGAAATATTCTAAATACAGAAAAGAACTGAGAATGATGTAATAAACACATTTTAATCTAACACCCAGATTTAATAAATATTACACCTGCTTTAGTTTTTTTTAATAAAGGATTAAAATTATAGATATTGGGCCTCCCCGGTGGCGCAGCGGTTGAGCGCTGGGTTGCGAAGCTGCCCGCGGCCTCTGCGGCGCCGGTTCGATCCCCGGCTGCTCCCCGGCCACCGGAGGAGGGTCCCGCATGGCGTGCAGACCTCTCCTGCCGCCCGCCCGCTGCTCCCCTCAGCAGTGTACTTCTGTCCTTCTGCCTGCTCTGCTCCCCGCTCTGGCTCTGGTGAATTCTCTCGCCCTCCCGCACTTCTGACTGTACCCAGTGCATGTAAAAACGAAAACAAACAAACAAACAGATAAATAAATAAATAAACATGCCTCTATAAAAAAAAAAAAAAAAAAAAATTATAGATATTGTTGAAACTCCAGTGTTCTGCTACCCAAACCTGCTACCCAAATTAAAAATGCCCATTTGCATTTCTAAACTCCCCTCAGGGGTCATTAAAGCTGTCTGGAGTTTGTAACCACTCCTACAGGGACACAGTAGCAGCTTGTGCTGATCCTGTGATTCTTTGTAAAGCTTTGAAAAAGATAGGTCTTTCTAACATATGTCATTGTTTTATAGATAAGGGTATCAAATAAGAAAAGGCTATGGTTAAGTAGAATTTTAAAAATATTTTTAAGAGGAAATACAAACATGTAAGTAGAGGAATATGACACAGTTGTTTTAAATTTTGCTTTCTGCATATTCAACTTGAAAAATCATAAACAGATACATTGCTCATTTGGGGATTGTTGTGAGATCACCAGCTGAAAGGGTTAGTAGTGGGAATTTCTTGTTCTGCTTTTTTTCCTATGTGCTCTTGAGTCAAATGTCTTAGGAATTTGTTAAGGTTTCATTGCATGGGATCTGCTAAAACAGCATTTAGCAGCATTAATTCTCCCCCTCCATAAGCACAGAATACCTTTCTTCTCTTTGTGTCGTCTTCTATTTCTCTTAATGTTTAGCAAGTGGGTGAGGACCCACAGCCAGACAACCCGTTTTATATCGGGGTTGCTCCGTAACATTAACAATGTCTTATAGTTTTCATTATGCAGGCCTTTCACTTCCTTTGTTAAATGTATTCTTTTTTGGTGATCTTGTAAATGGAATTGTTTTCTTAATTTTTCTTCTAGCTTGTTTGAGTATTTGAATGATGCAGATTTTTGTATATTGATTTGGTGGCATGTCATTTGATATACTTATTTATGGTTCCTAATAGTTTTTTAGTGGAATCTTTAAGGTATTTTATGTATACCATCATATCAACTGCAAATAATATTAGTTTCACTTCTTTTCTAACCTGTATTCCTTTTATATCTTCTTGTTGAGCAATGTTCTGGCTAAGAACTCTAACACTAAATTAAATAGAAGTGGTAAGTGGGCAACTTTACCTTGTTCCAGATCTTAAAGGAAAAACTTTCAGTGTTTCACCATTATGATATTAGCTATGGATTTGTAATATATGACCTTTATTGTGTTGTGGTGTATTCCTTTCATCCCCCACTTATTGTTAGTTTTCATCATAAATGGGTGCTGAATCTACTGAAATGTTTTCTCTGCATCTATTCATATAATCATATGATTTTTATCCTTCCCTTTACTGATGTGGTGTATTAAATTAATTGATTTGCATAAGGTATATCCTTATACCCTTTGATTAAATCCCACTTGGTCATGCTGAGCCATCCTTTGTATGTATTGTTGATATCAGTTTGTTAGTATTTTTTTTTAAAGTGTGTGTTTTTTTTAAAGATTTTTATTTTTATTTATTTATACAAGCACTGGGTACAGTCAGAAGTGCGGGAGGGTGAGAGAATTCACCAGAGCCAGAGCAGGGAGCAGAGCAGGCAGAAGGACCGAAGTACACTGCTGAGGGGAGCAGCGGGCGGCAGGAGAGGTCTGTGCACCACGTGGGACCCTCCTCCAGTGGCCTGGGAGCAGCCGGGGATCGAACTGGCATTGCAGAAGCTGCGGGCAGCTTCGCAACCCTGCTCTCAACATCTGCGCCACAGGGGAGGCCGGCCCAGTTTGTTAGTATTTTGTTGGGAATTTTTGCATATGTGTTCATCAGAGATATTGGCCCATATTTTTTTGTGATGTCCTTCTTTGTTCTGCTTTTGATTTCTAGTCTTAAAAGTGTCTATACAGCTATGTATGTCTATTTAAGATATTAAATCACCCCACTAAATTCACATGCAGAAATACCTATTAAGAATAAAGGCTTAGGGCCTCCCTGGAGGAGCAATGGTTGAGCGCTGGGTTGCGAAGCTGCCCGCAGCCTCTGCAGTGCCAGTTCGATCCCCGGCCACCGGGTGAGGGTCCCACATGGCAAGCAGTCCTCTCTCACAGCGCCTGCTGCTCCCCTTGGCAGTGTATTTCGTCAGTCTGTCTGTTCTGCTCCCTGCTCTGGCTCTGGTGAATTCTCTCACCCTCCCGCGCTTCTGACTGTACCCAGTGCTTGTATAAATAAATAAGTAAATCTTAAAAAAAAAAAAAAGAATAGCTTTAAGTATATAATTTAAAAAAAAAAAAGAATAAAGGCTTAAAGGGGGCAAAAGATTTAACCATTCACATTCATGTTTGCGTTTTTATTAGTGCATCTACCCCTGCCTGCTACAACCTAATTCCCATCTTAATAAGCGGTGAAGTGTTTGGAACGAATACGGAAATTAGCATTACTCTATTTGACAATAAGCAGGCAGAAGAAGATCTCAAAATCCTTATGACAGAGATGAGGAACCTGGTGTCACCCCTCCTCCAAAGTGTCTCCATCTGCACCCAAGTGGAAGATGCCTTCCACCAGGCCCACGTGATCATCGTTCTGGAAGACAGTATTGACAAAGAGATGTATTCTTTAGAAGACTACATCCGACACAAGGTTCCACTGTGCAGGCTCTATGGATATCTGATTGAGAAAAATGCTCATGAGTCTGTAAAAGTTATTGTAGGAGGAAAGTCCTTTGTGAATCTTAAGGCTGTTTTGCTTATAAGATATGCCCCCACCTTGGCACACAACATTGTCGCTGTGGCACTGGGGGTGGAAGGCGAAGCCAAAGCTGTGTTGGCCAGAAAACTAAAAACAGCACCCTCATGTAAGTGAACTATTTCCATTTCTGTTTTTGTTTTGAAACAACATGATTGCAAAGCACTAGGAAGAACACTTACCCTCTAGGAAATTCCAGATATTTGGAATAACAAGCAAACTTCTCATTATATGACTTGACCACTGTGAAAATGTTTTTACTGGTTTTTATGGCTAGGTAATGTGTCCATCATTACCAAAAAATAAACAAATACTTGTCATAATAAGACACATATTTTCCAAGTAATAATTTGAAGCCTAATACTCTAATTTTTCCATAGTAGTCAAGTAAATTGATCACTGTTATTTAAGTTAACCAGGCCCATGCTAAAGTGGCATCCCTCCATTTCCCACCTTGGGAAACTCGGGCTTTCACAAAATATTTCTAAAGTGCTTAGAAGAGTATCTGATAGGTAGCAAACATTTGCAAGGATATTAAATTTACTAGTAGGATTGTGATATTTGATTGGTTTCAGCTCCTGCTAATCATCAAATGGTGGATAGAAAAATCGCATGAAGGTAACACTAGATCAGAAAATGTATTATCATATTTTGAAAGGGAGTGCTGTATTTAAAGTATTTGTCAGGTTTGACAAATCTTAGCCACTTTTGCCTTTAGATGCAGCAGCTGCAACAGTGTTTACTGAGAATATAAGGAAGTACAAGGACTTTGCTGATTCCCAGCACATTGTAGGAAGGACTATGTTATCCATTTCCTTATAATTAAGTCCAAGAAACACAACCCAAGTACTGCTGTATACAAACTGATAGTGTCTTAACCCCAGAGCCAGTACATGCCTCAGCCAAACTGATACTAATGATTCAATAGGAAAGGAAAACATTTTCTAATTATTTTATCTCTGTTGTCAACCTTATATTTATGTGCAGACACTGATTTATCACAAAAGATCTATGATACACTGATGAAAGTGTAAAAAGAGTCAGTGTTTCGAATTCTAAAACGAGGAGGGCAGGATCGTGTCAAGGGCTTTCAGCTAGAAAGTTGCTCTCCTGTAGGTTGCTCATGCTGTAATTTCTAAGCCCTCTGTAGTCAAAGCCAATCAATAAATGAGAATCAGAAAGAAGGAAAATGAAGAAGAAAGGGAAAAGGACTAAAGGAACACCAGGGGGACAGTTGCCAGAGGAGCGTTGTCAGTGGGGCAGCAAGGAGAAATCAGAGCAGCAAAGAGAGAATTCCAGATGCCAAGAGGATATCTTCAGGATAATCCCTGAGGGCAGTTCATACTGCTTCTAGGACCAGGTTTCCTGACTTAGTTGGGAATCTTTCTGTTGCAAGTGATTAAGTCCATTCAAAGTAACAAAGTCAGATGGAGAAATGTTTTCACGTGACGTAATTGAAAGTTGAGGGAGTTCTTCCAACAGGTGTAGCTGGCTCAAATGATGATGGCAGGGCTGGCCTATGCTCTCTTAGCCCTCAGCTCTGCTTCCCTCAGCAGTGGTTTGATTCTCAGTCAGGCGCTCTCTGAGAAATGGCAGAATGGCCACTGGTATCCCCAGACTCATCCCCATATCTAGTCATGCCCATTAGAGAGAGGGCTTCCTTTCTCAGTTGTTTGTACAAGCATGGTAGGACAATATCTCATTGACTGTACTTGGACTACATGCCAAATTCTGAATCAATTATTATGGGCAAGAAGCTGGAGTCTGGGTCTCATGCATATTGATAAGTTTGGACCCAAATTAGGGAACGGTTGTTAGTTTTAGGAAAACCAGGATGCTGTTAAAGAAAAAAAAGTAAGAGATGCTGGGAGGAAAAAAACAGACATTCCCTATAATTTTTTGTACCATAATTTTAGAGCTATAAAAGGCCTTCAAGGCCCTCCCTGGTGGCACAGGGGTTAAAGTCTCAGCACTGTCAGGCTATCATCAGCCACTGTGGCATGAGATCAATCCCTGGTCAGGGAACTAACCCATATGGCACAGCAGACCTCTCCTGTCTCACCCACTGCTCCTCTCCCCAGTGTATTTCAGTAGATCTGCCTGTTCTGCTCCCCACTCTATCTCTGGTGAACCTTCTCACCACTCCCACCTCTGGTCTACACCCCAGCTCTTGTATGCATAAATAAATAATAATAAATCTTTAAAAAATATACAAAAGGCCTTCAAGCTGATAGGAAAAATGAGACTCAGTGAGATTAAAAGGTTTCTTTAGACTTTAGGAAGACAGCTATCACATACTGCCATGGGGCTGGAGGATTATTTTTTCCATGAGGGATCCCAGGGGCTCCTAGTCAGATTTCCACCTTCCCTTCCCTCCTACAACATGCAGCTAAATAGAGAGCCAAGTTGCACCAATAGGTCTCTTAGGCGGTGGGTGATGGAGAAGCATCAGCTATTCCTACTGATGAGTCATTTTGATGACAGCAATAATCTCAGAGGAAGATAACTGATATCGCAAGATATATTTGGATAATTGCCCAGCCTCTTCTCACCCTAGCCTGTCTCCTGCTGTGGAGGTAAAAAGGTCACTAATATTTGCAACTTTTCTTATAGCTAGAAGAAATTGAGGGTCTACCTGAAGTCCCTTAGGCTTTCCTAAGTATTTTACTGCCTGAAAAGAGAAAGACAAAAAGAGGAATCTGTTTTTCCCCTTTCTGCCAACCTTTGAAACCCTGTGAAAGTGTGATATATGGAGCTGCAGCAGCCACCTTAGAACCATGAGGAGACCAAGAAAATCACCCTCTGACCTACTAAACAAGCACCAGTGTCACTGCCTATCTCAACTTGTTCTCTGAGAAACGTAAACACTTCTGGTTAATCCAAATCAGTGGGATGGTCTGAAGCCACAGCAATCTTACATTATAAAGAATAGGGGAAAGAATTAATCTCCACAATAGGAAGTGGTATGACCTTATCATTATTAATTTTTAAACCAAAAAATAAGTTACTAAATCAATAAAATTATTTCTTTTCAATTTGGATACACATTCCTAGAAAATCCATGATAGAATCATATTAAATACCAATTTCTGTTTGTCTCTAACCCCTATCCTCTTATTTTGCTTCATTAATATGTATTACTGTGCATAGTAGTTGTTTTCTTACCCATTTTCCCCTCCACCCTCAGAATGTTACGAGAATTTGGGCTGATTTGTTTTCTTCTAAATCTACCACCTAAAAATGCCTCACACAGAAGCTAATTCAATAACTCTTTGTTGGCTAAGATGTTCCTTGGGGTCCTTTTATTACAACACCCTCATTCTGCAGAAAATGAAAGCCAGCCTGGGAGTTAAATGATTTGCTCAAATTTCTATTCCAGTCTAAACTCAGGAACTCCTTGTCAGAACCAAAGTAAATTAAAAGTTCCAAAGGACACAGAAACATTAATTCAAAAAGGCACCTGCACCCCTATGTTTATAGCAGCACTATTTACAATAGCTAAGCTTTGGAAACAACCCAAATGCCCAAAAATAGATGACTGGATCAAGAAGTTGTGGTACATATACACAATGGAATATTACTCAGCAATCAAAAAAGATAAACTTATGCCATTTGCAGCAACATGGATGGAGCTGGAAAGGATCATGCTCAGCAAAATAAGCCAGAAAGAAAAAGAAAAATACCAGATGGTCTCACTCATAGCAGGAATTTAGAAAACCTAAATAAGAGACCAGGAGAAAGACTAATTATAATAAAGTGAAAATCAAAATCAACAAGCAACTATGAGCCAGAGACACTCTGGGGGGCGGGATGGGGGAAGGAGAAGGAAGTAGGATCAAAACAAGGGGGGGTGGGAATTGTATGGGGAATATAACCAAGATGAAAATGAGTACATTGTGCATGAATGAAAATTGATGTAAAAAATATTTTTTTAAAAAAATTCCCTTCGTAGCAGAGAAATGGAGTTAGGACCAAAGCAGGGATAGCATCTTAAGTAGCAGTTGGTTTCAGGTATTCCTTGACTTCCTTCAATTACACTCATGCCATTCATCGAGCTTTGGGCTTTGGCTATTAGGGATTGGCAATTAGGGATTGCCAAACCCTGATGATTAGGGACATGCTCCACATTATTTGCACATTTTGCATAACTTAGGAGGAACATAAACTTAGGCTCATTTTCTAGCACAAGTATCAATCCCAAAACAAACACACACAAAAAATAGCGTGCACGTAATTTTTTATACTAATTTTCATTATTGTGCTAATTTTTCATTTCTTTTCTTCGCAGGCATCAAAGATGTGATAATTTGGGGTAATATTAGTGGAAATAACTACATTGATCTGAGAAAAGCCAGGATTTACAGACATGAAAGTGCTATTTGGGGACCTCCCCACTATTCACGCCCTATTTTAAGCTTGATTTTTGATAGGTACAGTGTATTTTTATTTATTTATTTATTTGTTTATTTTTAAGATTTATTTATTTATTTATACAAGCACTGGGTACAGTCAGAAGCGCGGGAGGGCAAGAGAATTCACCAGAGCCAGAGCGGGGAGCAGAGCAGGCAGAAGGACCGAAGTACACTGCTGAGGGGAGCAGCGGGCGGCAGGAGAGGTCTGCGCGCCATGTGGGACCCTCCTCCGGTGGCCAGGGAGCAGCCGGGGATCGAACCGGTGCCCAGAGGCCGCGGGCAGCTTTGCAACCCAGCGCTCAACTGCTGAGCCACCGGGGAGGCCCTACAGTGTATTTTTAAAGCACAGTATACTAACAATGCTGAATAAATGCATAGTTGTTATCTTAGAAAATCTTTGTACATCTTAGAAATCTTTGTACAAAAATAACTTGGGGATTTGGTCACACACATTTTTTGCTTATGCCAATGACTGCAGAAACAAAACTACAGAATTTCAACTAGTCAGTCCCCACCCTAGTTATTTGATGTTGAAATTATGAATTTTCATATTTCAGATTTCTGGTAAGGGCCTTACATTGAGGTTATCTGTAAAACAAGTAAATGTAAAGTGAATCTTACTTAAAGGAAAGAAGAGAGATGTATCCAAGTTGATGTTAGTTGAAATGTTTTTGACAATCAAGAATTAAGATGGTGAGCAGTCTAAGGCTCTGCTGGGTGTCCTGTCCCCAGAGAGGCAGAATGGAGAAGGAGTGAGGAGCAGAGTCACCAAAACCAAGCCCTCTAGGTTGGAATTCTCTTGGAGGCATTGGCCAACTCTGCGACTTTGGAGAAATCACTCAACCTCTAGAAGCCTCAGTTTTTTTCATCTCCAGCATGGAAATGATTGCGCTCAATGGGGCTTGTAGGGTTGTTGGGAAGACTGAAGGACTGATACAGGCAAAGCACTTAGAACCGTGCTGCTACAGTCAACCCCACGATTTCCACTAGGCAGAAATGAAGAGAGGGAGGAGTCTTTGAAGCATTTCCCTAACTTGGCAGCACTTTCATTGTAGCATTTCCTTTCCATCACCCCTTCTTTCCCTTCACTTCCTCAGACCTTAGGAACTTCATGGACACGGACATTCCATGTCCACGTTCACACTCCTGGAGAGTGAGCTCCCCACGCGCTGCCTGGGTGGGGCAGTGTCTCACAGAGCTGTCATGTGTGGGGCCACCAGGACCAGCTTTTCAGTCTGCTGGACTATTCCCTGAGTTGAGAGTTCAGTTTGCGCAGCATTATCATTCCCTAAGTCTGCATGTGAATAATTCAACATTTCATGTTACTATTTTCTTTAAAATGAAAGATACCACTGGTTTCAAAATAGCATCTACCTTAAATAAACTCTTTGTAATGAAAGTCCCTGTTCTTGCCATCTCGGATGACTTCTCTGTGTTCCATTTTATATTATCATGTTTTTCGTTTGAAACATGATAATATAAATTTCTTCTATTTTTCGCTGTTTTTCAATTGACTTTATGGAAGTGAAGAAACTTGAAGAAAGGGCACAGGATGTCATAGTTCTATTTTGTGGAGATAATTTCTTGTGCTGAAATCCATTGACCCTAGGAACAGCTGTTTTCATTTCCATGCCTTCCCCTATGGTCAAATGTTTTTTTGCCTCCTTACAGTGAATGGATAAAAAAGGAATTTGTGGAAAAACTGAAAAAATTGACCAGCACAGGGAGAGAGTTTGGAGGCATCTTAGCTGCGCATAGCATAAGTACTACGTTGAAATATTGGTACCATGGCTCACCGCCTGGGGAGATTGTGTCATTAGGAGTCTTGAGTGAAGGTAAATCTGAATGTTCACATCCTGTAATTTTTTTTCTAAGTTAGTAGCAGCTAATTTAATTTTTTTAATTTTATTTTACATCATTATTCATTTTTTACAGTGTTTGCTTTCTTTTTTCAGGTTTAGTCCCCATAGAATTTCCACCACCAACTCAATCCATCACCATCACCGTAGTCCCTTGTGCTCCTCCTGTCCCCATGTCAATCCCTCTGCTTCCACCTCCCCTGCAGAATGTCTCTGATTTATAGTTTTCTGTTTGTTTTTGTTTTGTTGTGTTGTGTTTTTTCAGTTGTTATTATTTTTTCCCTGATCCTTTATATTGTTCCTCTATATTCCTCCTTAAGGGAAACCATCCGATATTTTTCTTTTTCCTTCTGACTTATTTCACTGAGCATAACCCCTTCTAGCTTCATCCATGTTGCTGTGAACGGCATGAGTTTATCTTTTCTATAATATTTAAAAACCTCGGGCCTCCCCTGGTGGCACAGGCAGTTGAGTGCTGCGATGTGAAGCTGTCCACAGCTTCTGCAGTGCTGGTTCGATCCCAGCCAGCTGGTGAGGGTCCTATATTACAGAGCAGACCTCTCCTGTCAGGCCCGCTGCTCCCCTCAGCAGTGTATTTCCTCAGTTTGCCTGTTCTGTTCCTGCTCTGTCTCTGGTGAATCCTCTCAGCCTCCCGCGCATCTGGCCTATACCCCGGTTCTTGTATCAATAAATAAATAAATCTTAAAAAAATATTTAAAAACCTCCATCTATGCCATGTGTTCCTACCTCTCTGTGTCTCTACTTGTCTACTGCTTAACACACAAATGGTCTGGGCTTCCACAGTTCCATAATCATCCATTAGCTCTCATGTCCTTTCCTTCATCCATTCAGAAATTCAACAATGTTTTGAATGTTGGAGAACCTGATATATAAACAGAGCAGTCTCACTAACTTATCCTAACTGTACCCCAGCTGAGAAAGCAAGGTCCATTTAGGTGGACAATGGGAAGAATTAGGACAGGCTTTATAAAGAAGGTAACACTCCAAGAAGCTGAGAGTTCATGTAGTACATAAGTGGGAGGCAGGCGTGGGAACGGTGGCCTGGGCACAGCAATGAAGACAGAGGCAGGAGATAAAGGTGCGCTCAGAGCCCAGATGTTAGGGGAGAAGGCAGCAGCTGGAAATTGGGAAACTTACATATCTGTGGATATTCTCCATCCACCAACATCATACGTACTTTTTTACAGCCTTAATGGTTTAATCTACACAAAATGATTCAGAGGAGTTCTACCATTTTGAAAAGTGGGGAGAGAAAATAGCTGATGCTCTGTGCTCTGTAAGTTCTAGCTAAAGCATCTCTACCCTTTGTGCTTTACTTTCTCCCTGTGCAAACTCATTTGCTCACAAAGATTCAGGCCCGGGTCTCTGCTGAGCTCTAGTCTCTGCTGCAACTTTGCCACCTGTATAATACACTGTCACTTCAAGCCACCATACACCAGAGGAACTTACTATCTTCCTCCCCATTCGGATCTACATCATATTCCTTAATAGAAACACCATCCTTCCTTTTTGTTCCAGTGACTACTGTATAGCTCAAGGCGATCTCCTCAAACTCCAAGTCAGAATTAACCTGTTTCCCCTCTGTCCACACAGCAGTTAGCCCCTCTATCAGAGACCATATTATCACCTGCCTTTATTGGTTGTGGTTAGTTGCTTCTGTCCCTCATTAGAATGCATGTGCCCTGCGAGAAGAGCTCTGCCTGGGTGGTCTTGCTGCTTGTTCACACGCAATGAACCTTGCTCAACTGAAGTTAAGCTGCAGGAACATCCCCATCATGTGAATTCAAGTCAATATAACACCTATTTCGAGGAAATAGCCTAATGCTTACTTGTAGAAACTTTAATTAACCTTTATAGGAATTCATCAATAAATAATGCAGTACTGGGGAGAAGGACAAGTGATTATTATCTCCCTGAAACTGTGCCATGTAAGTAAACCTTCATATGTTGTCTGCCGGTAAGTCTGGCTCTTTACAGATAAAAAAAATAGAATATCAGAAGAGGACCTGGGACTCCCTCTAAGGAAGAGTCCTTTACGTACTGGTTTCTTGACTATCCTCAATTGTTTTGCCCCAATGACAAAATTTTTGGCACAAGGGTAGCAAGAATATTTTTCTTATTTGATTGAAGTACTTAAGGGGGGTGGTAATTTATCTGAAAATGGCCCAGTTAGAAACAATCTTAATTGTTAATCTTGTTTAGAGAACATCTAAACTAGACTGGGAGCAGCAAGATAATCGCCAGCTTTCCCGTCCTCTCTCTTTCTCTTCCTGTCCTCATTCCCTAGCTGTGCAACTGCCACAGTAGGCGAAGAAACGCAGAAGGCCAGATTAAACAGACACCTTGAACTCTTGGGTTATCTAGGGGACAAGAAGAAGCCAGGGGCAGTAGACAAAAGGAATCCAGATGAGTGGAAGAGAAAGTGTTATAGAGCAGCCCCGATATTGAATGGGTTCCTGCCTGTGGGTCCTCACCCGTGCGCTTAAAAGGGACTTATGAATACTCCACTACAGACACACAAAAGGTTAATAAAAGGTTTATTTACAAGGGAAAAGGAAATAAGGAAAATGTACAACTCAGGGAGAAAATAGGGAAATAAAGTCTTTAATGCTTCCTACCCGATCCGCCGACCTGGAAACCCAAAAAGCACTCTCCGAGCTGGCCAGACGCTGCGAGCTGGCAGAGAGCCAAAATGGGGGACCCCTCCGAAGCCCACGTGTCTGGCTTTATACCAACCTGGCTGCTTAACCCCACCCTCAGGTCCCAGCCACCTTCCCTTTGGTGGTGATGGGATTTGGAGTTCCCAGTGTCTTTGGCTTTGACCTGGGGTGGGGGTGGAGTCCACAAAGCCTGTATGGAATTAGCTTTGGGACAGCCTTTTCCCCCTAACAATTCCCCCCTTTCACTTTTTTCCACCATTTCCATGGTGATGAAGAGCAAATATATGAATGTTGGGATGCAGTCTCAGATGAAAATTTTTTTTACCAGGTTCCAGTGTGAAAGAAAACCAGTCCCTCCAGGTATTCGTCCATTGTGGAAAGCAAAAAGTCCTCTGTTCCTGGAAAAACAGTTCATCAGTTCAAGCCAAAAAAAAACAAACATCTGGAGGCATTAGCCAAAACAAGACAGCAGATATGTCAAAATCACAGGAAAAAATCTTAAAATGGTTCAACTGATGTAAAACACAAATTTTTCAACCTTGATACCAAACTTTTAACAGCATAGCAAAAGTTTGCAAACTAAATCTACTTTTAAACCATATTAACTATTTTTGCATAAAATCACAGGGCAGAAAATAACTAACAGCAATTTTTAGCTGGCTTTGTTGAAATACTCCATATAGGATCAGAGCGAACCGGTGGCATCCGGTCGATGTAGGCTTCAGGTACAAAGTTGGTCTCATCAGACTCCACCTGGGCTTTCCTCTTCTCGAGGGTACCAGGGTTTTTTCTTTGGCTGGGTTGTCCAGTCCTGCCAATGGAGGCAAGCTTCCTCACCTTCTTTAACAAAAGCACTAGTTTCTGAGGCAAAGGCAGAGAATCTGAACCTAATGGGGACAAAAAGAGTACAGACAGGGAACACTGGTTCTTCTGTCTGAGAGAAACACAGAAGGGAGAACTGTTAAACTTGGGGAGATGCTCCATTAATGCTTCTAGAGTAAATGTTTCAGTACTGTCTGAGAAGGAATGTCCAGAACTTTCCACCATTGTCATCAACGTCTCACATTGCGTCTCTACTTCTCCACAGTGCTCAACAGGAAAAAATTTTTTTTTCTGAATGCTTTTGTTTGGCTTTGCTTTGTGTCTGCCCACTGCAGGTCAGTTTGGTATTCCTGAAGGGATCGTCTTTTCTATGCCTGTGAAATTTGAGAATGAAAGCTGGGTGGTTCTTACGGATCTTGAAGATATTAACATAAGTGAACAAAAAATGACTGGAATGACAAGTGACCTAATTCAGGTAATATCAGATAAACAAGATGCTGCGATACTATCTGAAACAGATTCCCCTAGGCCCGAGGCACACGTTGGCTTTCTGTGGGTTCACTCTGCAACTTATTTCTAACAATGATAAGGAGACAATACAAGTTTGAAGAAATCAGCAAAACACTCACTTGGTTACATAATTTCTGGTGTGTTAAAAATATTTCTTGGCTACTTAAAAATCAAGAATCAAAGTGTTTTTCTATTAAAAATTGAATTAAGTTAGTAATTGTGGTCATGTAATTCTCTGATTATAAAATTTTTCAACAGGAGAAACTCATTGCACTTGGAGAGGTGATAAGTTTTCATGCATTTCAAACAGGTAATCTCTTAGATGTGATATTTTAAAATACACTGTTAAAAGACTATTAAGATTTTTTTTATAACTGAATCACTGATATAGATAACTCTAATCCATATTTTATCACTTTGAAACTAAATTATTGGCAAAATAAACTGCTGAGTTCAATGCATCCTCTGAAATTAAATATCTTGTGAATGCTAAAGAAGTCATGTCTTTTTAATCTGATTTTTATTACCATTATTATTACTATTATTGGTTTACAGCATTGTATGTAATTCAGGGGAATAGATTCCTACCTCCTCACCACTTCTCAGACTTTTGGCTGAGATCCAGTGTAATAGGTTCCTACCTCCTCAGATGTCCATCACCACGCCACACCCCCTACCAGAGCACACATAACCCTTTATCAATTATCACTGGGTCCCTCCCTACTTGTTCACACTCTCACCTCTTTCCTCTAGTAGCCTCAGATCCACAGTCATGTTTCTAGGCTTTGTTTTGGTTTAGTTTTGTCACTTGCTTTGTTTTATTTTTCTATATTCCACATGTAAGTAAAGTCATCCAGCTTTCTCCTTCTGGCTTATTTCACTTAGCGTAATTCCCTCCAGTTCCATCCATGTTGTTGCAAATGGCAAGAGTTGATCTTTTCTAGCTGAAGAGTATTCCATCGTGTATATGTACCACATCCTAATCCATTCCTCTGTCTTTCAGCACCTAGGCTGCTTCCATAAATTAGCAATTGTAAACAGCAAAGCACTATGTTCTTGTAAATGCTGTGCATATAATATGTTTCAGTTTCCTGGGATTTTCATAACAAATTACACATACTGAATAGCTTAAAACAGCAGAAATCAATTCTCTCATGGTCCTGGAGACTAGAAGACCTAAATCAAGGTGTGAGCAGGCTATGTTCCCCAAGCGCTTTGTACAAGTCCAAGGCTGAGAAGCAAGTAGAGCTTTTTCACATGTGTCTCTGCTTCATATGTCTCTTCCAGGTCTTTTCCTTCCTCCTTCCTCTTCCTTATTTTTTCTAGTTTTCTTCAGCTTCTCTTCACAGCTCAGCTCCACCCTTCCTTGTGTGGCACAGGGAACCTGGATCCACTCCCCCTCCCCCGGATATCACATGGTTACATTTCAATATTAGAATTTAGAGATCTTCTCTGTGGCATCTGGCATTGGCAGGCTAGAGCTGCAAATTCAAGAAAATGGGCGATAGAGCAGTCATTCTAAATTTTACTCCATTGCCTGGGAGTTAGTCCTAAATTTCTTGTAATTTTTGCATTATAGAGGATTTCATGATAGAAAATGATCTAATGTTATGCATATTACACTATTTTCATTAACAAAGGTCAAGGTGTGTGTGTGTGTGTGTGTGTGTGTGTTTATATATGATTAATCTTGACTCCATCACCTTTGGACATTGCCCCAAACATCAGAGACCAAGACCTGAGCATTGAAAATAGTCAGGGTAGGTAGGGTCTCCCCGGTGGCGCAGCGGTTGAGCGCTGGGTTGCGAAGCTGCCAGCAGTCTCTGCATCGCCGGTTCAATCCCCGGCTGCCCCCCAGCCACCAGAGGAGGGTCCCACATGGCACACAGACCTCTCCCGCCGCCCGCTGCTCCCCTCAGCAGTGTACTTTGGTCCTTCTGCCTGCTCTGCTCCCCGCTCTGGCTCTGGTGAATTCTCTCACCCTCCCGCGCTTCTGACTGTACCCAGTGCTTGTATAAATAAATGAATAATAAACAAACAAATAAATAAATAAATCTTAAAAAAAAAAAGAAAATAGAGTAGAGAGAGCTCTGCTTACTAGCATACTGATATCATATTTCATATGTGAGGTTTGTAGAATCTTATCTAACTTAATACTTAATTTCTGACATTTAGAAAGTGATGAAAAAGAAGAAAGTAACACCACACTCAGCACAATTGATAACCAAGAAGATCAAAGAGTCTCAGCTGGTATGTATATCAATGGAAAAATAATGCTCCTTTTCTCTAAGACCTAACACTAAATTTCAAAGAAAAGGGTTTGCTTATCTATTAGCCATAAAATGAACATTAAGTCTTTCATCACCCTCCTCCTATACTCAAAATTAAGATCATATATAACATCTCTTGAGATCTTTTGAGGAAATGGCCAGTTATCTGTGGTACACCTTCCACAGGCTGGTCACTGTGAGGGACGCAGGGCACTGTGAGGAAGCCGTGGCCACACACATGTCTGGGGAAAGGCACCAAGAGAATATGAAAATGTAAATGCTGAGATATGCAATGAATTAAATAGCTCCACAAAACAGAGCAAGACACATAGAAAAGGAACAAAGTATATAACAAGTCATCCAGAAGTTCACAAGGAAATATCCTTTCTTTGCAGGAAGGAGAAAATTTAATCATATCTGGAAATCTAGTTGGGGCTAAAGAAAATCAAATGGGCATATATTTAGTCAGCAATTGTGCTAGTTCACTCACATAAGACAAAAAGTTCTAGAGATTTGCTCTTAAAACAAGCATGTTCTTAGTACCGCATTGTATACAAAAGCTTGTTAAGGTAGAGTCAATACTATATTTTTACCATAAATAACAAAATAAGGGGCCAGTGACATAAAAATAAATCAAATACTCTTCTTACCTCAAAGCTCTTACCATCTGCAGTGGGAAATAGCAAAGCTTATGCTACCCTGTGGAGAGGTAGGTAATGTGATAAGAGAGGCCCAGGCTCCAACAGGGATGGTGTACAAGAGGTTTCCTGACATTCTCTGGAAGTATAGGAAGCTGAGTCTAGAAGGATGAGTAGAAATTACTTGTGTAATTAGAGAAAAGGAGGGGTGAGTAGAAACGAGGTTGTAAAACATGAGCAAAGGAGGCACTTGAGGCTATTAAGGCAAGACCAAAAGTGTGAGCCTGAGGTAGTATAACACTGCCATCAGAAGATAACAAGTGGAGTAGCTGGACTAGAGCATGGAACCCATAAAACTGGGTAAGGATGAAAAAATAACAGTCATCTGTTGTTCAGCTGAATGATTGGTTGGGAGCTCAGCAATGGAGCTGGTAGATGGCAGGACAAAGCACAAGATGGATGAGATCAAGCGCAGGAGATTCATCTGGCTTTATCATTGACCCTCTAAAGTCTAGTCAAGCAGCCCCAATCACTGTCCAGACAGCGTGGTGAGCTCAGTCCCCGTCAGAAGAGACATCTCGAGAGACTCGAGCAGATGATATCTGTGGATATCAGCATGGCAGCACTGGTGCTCCACTTGGCCAACCAGTGTTCTCAATACTCAAGGAAAGTACTTGGACATGAGAGCCCTTGTGAGGGAGCAAAGATAAAAAGGAAGAGGAAGGTGACTGCTTGCTCCCCAGGAAGGAGGAGGGAAGCTGAATGGCAGAGAATGCATCCCTGAGTCTTCCAGTCTTCACATCAGAGCAATTTATGTTGTTAATGAAAACCTTAGGTTCTTACAGCTCTTCTAAGTTATACTCTTATGCAAACTAAAGAACTTTTGTGGTGGTAAAGTAGAGAAAATGGGGTTGATTTCAGGTTGTTTGGGGGCCTATTTGTTGAATGAACATCAGAATCAAATATAACAGTACTTTCCACGGTATGGGTTAGACGCGTCAGAGAAAAATTGGGTGGGTCATGAAATCCATTTAATTACTAGCATTTTTCCGTGAAATAGGAGGTAAAAAAGGTCAGATTATTTTTACCCCTGAACTGGAATAAAATACAAAGGAAAAGATTAAGAAAAGGGTATGTAATTTGGCTGAGTTAGTTTACCTAAATATGTTTTCTCATCTATGAAATGGGAATAAAAATTGCACTTACTTTGAAAAGAAAGACAAGAAAAGGCTATGTAAGAATAAGTTAGAAAAGGGTAAGGACTGTTTCATTGTGTATGCACAAGTGGACATATCAGACCCCAATGTAAAGTGCATTTTTTACTGTTAGCCATGGTCAATAATGTTTTAAAAATGGTAACTTAGAGCATCTCACAGATTTATTTTAACCCAGCATGTTTTACTTAATTTTGGTTTCAGAATTTAATGAAAAGCTTCCATTAGGATCTAATCCAATTTGAAGAAAAATATCAGTCAGGTGATTGTGTCAGCCAGCAAGTTTACCTAGCTATAAACAATTTAGGGAATGATGCTGTCTGTGGTCAGAAGGACATAGTCTACAGCCCAAGTAATTTTGAAATAACTCCTTTTATTTTCCTGTACTTGGTAAACACTTTGAAGGAGGGATTTAAAAGTTGTTAAAATCTTTGAAACTGCTTCTACATCATACCTCAAATGGTCCTCACTTTGGCCTTAGTGCCTGGCGTTTCAACTTTTTCACCCTTTCCTTTCATTCTAAATTCTTCTTTACAAAACCCCAAGTGATTGACATGGCAGGTCAGGACCCTCTTCAAAAGGTGGGTAAGAGGAAGAGATTGAGAGGGCAGAGTTTAAAACTGTCTTTAACAGAAAATCTGGAAACTTTTCCTCCTCTCATAAGTGTGTGTGTGTGTGTGTGTGTGTGTGTGTGTACTTAGAAATATGTATGTAGAGACTTTAATGTTTTCTAAATGTTCCTATCCACTACAAATCACATATCTAAAAAATAGACTGTTTCCATGTTTACCACTTCATTACCTGAAACTCTTTGTATGGAAGAAAGCTGGCAAGCACCAAGAAGTTGCTCAGTGATTTATGTCATGGGATCAAGGTTGGACATCTGTTTGCTCATTCTGCCCACAGGGCCATCAACACCCACTGGCATAGGTTGAGACACTGTCTGAAAGTGATCTAGCATGAGACAATCCTGAAATAAAGCAAAGCACTCAGAGAAACTTGGAATGGAAGGAACAAAATAGATGAAAATGAGAATAACTGCAAAAATCAATGCACTCGAAATACTAAAAACTCTGTTTTAATTCTCTATTTATGGCAATGGATTTTTTTAGACCTGACTCCTCAAACCATCTCTAAAACAACCCAGTCAAGAGCCTCTAAGGGGCCTCCCCGGTGGTGCAGCGGGTTAAGCGAAGCGCTGTGAAGCTATCCACAGCCTCTGCAGTGCAGGTTCAATTCCCCGCCAGTCAGGGAGATACCCACATGGCGCAGCAGACCTCTCCTGTCTCTCCCACTGCCCCCTCAGCAATGTCTTCAGTCCATCTGCCTGTTCTGTTCCCCGCTCTGTCTCTGGTGAATCCTTTCACCCTCCCACGGTTCTGGCCTGTACCCCAGTTCTAGTATAAACAAATAATCTTTAAAAAAAAAAAAAGGAAAAAAAAGAAAGAACCTCTAAGTAGCAGGTGATAGACAAATGCTAACTAGTCTTTCCTTAATCTGTAAATGGAACTAGACAGCAGAGGATCAAGTAGCCTGATGACACAGTTGTTTTAAATTCTCCCTCCCCACTTATCCCCAGGAACTAGGTCTTGCTCACTACTCTCCTAGAACCTGGCTTCTAACTTCTATAACTAGGGCTATGACAGTGCTAACCTAAACCTTCCCTCAGAATGAATTAGTAAAGAAATGACACATATATCTGTGAGTCCAGATTTTCAAAGTATGTAACTGAGTTATTCCAATACTTTATGAAAGCAAGACTGGTGTAGATTTCTGTGGTTGACCAATCAAGATATTTACCTAAGACTTAACAATTTTATTTCAATGCCTACTAAAATGAACACAATCCAGTGCATCTTCCATTCAGAAGTGTAGAGTATGATAGCTTTGGAGATGGCCTAACCTATGGAGAATTAGAACCAGTGCAGAAGAGAGGTAGGGCCAAGAGAAGAAATGGAGCTGACAATGTAACTGCAAATAAAATTCAGACTGAGACGCAAAGGAGCCAAGAGAGATTGCACATAGAAATAGATTAAGATCTGGAAAGAGGCCAAAGTTTGCTTTTTGCTATGTGAAAATATCTAATGATAGTCTTGTGGTTTTATTTCCCCTGTAGAATCCACTTTATACATGCACACCCTTAGCTTTGAATCAGATTGGATCCAGGGATCCAGAAAAGAGAAGGAAGAAGGGAGCAAAGGAAAGGCCAATAAAAACTAAGTTACTGATGTTTTTAAAAAAATATTACATCTTTTCATTTTTCTTTTTTTTTTACAGAATCTGGAGGGAAAACTGTTGAACAATAACAGATTGAATTATACCAACTATAAAGTCACTTGGTAGTGCAATATAGAATGACCCATGCATGTCTCTATTTAGAAAAGAAAAACTTGAAAGATTTACTTCCATCTTAATTAATATTATGCTCGACTACTAAATAGCAATGACAGCCTATACATAAATGTCATTCAGTCATTTAATGTTACCTATATTCACTCATGTGATTATGTCTTTTCTCATAAATAATTTGGTATCAATTGCCTTGTTTTGTTTTGTTTTTTTAAAGATTTATTTATTTATGCATAGACGAACTAGGGTCCAGGCCAGAGGTATAAGAGGTAAGAAGATTCACCAGAGACAGAGTGGGGAACAGAACAGGCAGATCTACTGAAATGCCCTGCTGAGGGGAGTAGTGGGTGAGACAGGAAAGGTCTGTGGCGCCATATATGGGTTGGCTCCCTGGCTGGGGATCAAACTGAGGCCATAGTGGCCAGGGCATGATATCACTGATATTTACCCCTAGACCACCAGGGAGGCCCCTCAATTGCTGTGTTTTAAACTACATTAAAATAGAGGTGTCAGTCATTGCATCCTCACCATACATTTTGAGATGGCTACAAGTGCTCAGATGTCCTTACTCTTGGCCTCAACTGACTGGACCAGAATAGACACATCCTACTCAAGGAGAACCCTTCAGATGTTCTCAAAATGTTTGTACTGAGAAAAATGGGTAAGTTGGCATCTGAGATGGTAACAGTAGTGAACTAGAGAAGGCACAATGTTTTTTACCTGAGGGGCTTTCAAGACCAGGTCACATTCACCACCTTCCTAAGTGTGCATCGTTTTTCCTTTTATTTACTTTATACAGTAAATCTCATTTTTTTCTTTAGCTTAGATTGAATAGTTTTCTGTTTCTTGACACCAGATGTGGCCTGAGTAAACTGAATTTTGAAAGAAAACTCATAATTTTTTTCCACTATATAATTGCAAGATCTACATAAAAATAGTCTTTTAAAGCAGTAGTCAAACCAATATGCCCATATATTTTGAAGCTAATAGGACCCTTTACAAATGCCAATTAGAAAGTTTTAAAAGCCCAGGAGTCATATTAAAAAGTGCTGATATCTTTACTTTCTCTGTGGTTTTAAATAGCTCTAAATATGCAAGTTTCTGAAAATTTAGGGGAATTTCAGATGCTTCTACAATGCTTCCACACCATCATAATGAAATGGATAATTTCAAAACTGGCTAATCCTTCCCTTTTGCTTGTTTCCAAAGTCAGCATCTCAGCTGATATTATTATGAAGAAAACTTCATGTCTGTGTTGAGGTTCTGTGCCCTCATATATCACTTCCCCTGCCTCCTCCTCTGGGGACCAGCACACGTGACCAAGAGCAATAATGGGAGGGGAGATTAGGAGCTGCTTTACACATAGCTGACTGCATGGGAGTTGCCCCTCAACATGCTTGGCTTCTTTGTGGTCAAATCGAGCTAGATTGGGAAATGTGACTCAGACCAAGACACCCTGCTCCATTCCTGTTCAATGAGGTATGCCAATCACCACCCAGAACCAGGTGGAGGAGTTAGAACAGGGAAGACAGCCACAGCCACATGCCACTTTCTAAGCAATGACCCTGCCCTTTGGTGATATTGTTCCCAGTGAGGCTCAAGCCCCAAACAATTACATAATCAGCTGCTTCTGTAGTGGGTAGACATCTCGAAGGGGCGAGTAAGAGACATGGGCAGTTTCTCCTCTTTAGGAACAATGTAGAAAACATTCAGCCCCATTCCTAGCAAGCTGTACTTTCCAGCATGAATATGAACTGTCATATGTTCAAATCACTATAGGGTGTCCAGGAAGCTCTGGGATAGGCTCCTAATAGGAAAAGAGAACAAATTAGCCTTAATCACTGTATTTACTACCACTTATTTGCTTCAAATTAATGTAAGATATGGAATCACATTGGGAGAAAACTGTTAGTGTTTGCTATTTGTTTACAAATAATGGTGGTGTCATTTCAAAAATATTTTTCAGAGAGGTTTTTGTTTTGTTTTGTTTTGTTTTTTTTCCCCAACTGATACACTACCTCTCAATAGCCTATTATATGTAGTAGACCAACTTGGGAAATCTCAAGTCTCAGACCAAGTCTGATCTTCACATTAGGAGTAATTTTAATGTGAAGTTATTAAAAATAATTTCTCTGTGTTATTAAAACTGTCATGGTGAAGACATGAGGGAGGAATATTCAGTAGAAAATTTGGAATATCACTCAAAGAAAGGCATTACGCGAACAAAGTAATTACCTTATTGGTCACTAGCAGAGGGGGTAAGTGCATGTATCCTAACTGTAGCAGGCACTGGTAGTTGCCTTCCCTACAGCCCTGTCCCCATTCTCCTTATTAACAGAACTCTGATTTCACTGGGATGGGCAATAGTTCCAATGCTAGGGCATGAATCTTGATAGAGCTAATCTAGTCCTGAGTTATTCTGAAGTAATTCAGTGTTTGGTCTATGAGCAAGAATGTGACCTAGTTTTGTGTAATGATAAGAAGTCTTCTGGAGGAGAAAGATGGGGAAGAGAGGGAGGGAGAGAGACAGAGACAGAGACAGAGACAGAGAGACAGAGAATTGTGTGAAAAGAGAAGGTAGGGCCTCCTGGGTGGCGCAGCGGTTGAGCGCTGGGTTGCAAAGCTGCCCTCAGCCTCTGCACCGCCGGTTCGATCCCCGGCCACCAGGCGAGGGTCCCACATGGCGCACAGACCTCTCCTGCCGCCAGCTGCTCTTCTCAGCAGTGTACTTTGTCAGTCTGCCTGCTCTGCTCTCTCCTCTGGCTCTGGTGAATTCTCTCACCCTCCCGTGCTTCTGACTGTACCCAGTGCTTGTATAAATAAATAATTAATTGATTTTAAAAAAAAAAAGAAAGAAAAGAGAAGGTACTTCAACATGGAGAAAAAGGAACCCTTTTTACATTGGTGGGAATATAAATAGGCCCAGCTCCTATGGAGAACAGTACAGAAGTTTCTCAAAAGATTAAAAGTGGATCTGCCATATAAGCCAGCAATTCCACTCCCAAAGAATACAAAAACACTAATTCAAAGGGAAACATACACACCTATGCCCACTGCAGCAGTAACAATAGCCAAGCTATGGAAACAACCTAAGTGCCCAAACAGATGAGTGGATCAGGACGATGTGGTATATACACAGTGAAATACTACTCAGCTTTCAAAAAAGATACTCTTTGCCATTATGGATGTAGCTCAAGGGGATTATGCTAAGCTCAATATGTTTAAGTAGAAAGCTAAATATCAGATGGTGTCACTTATATGTGGAATGTAGAGAAACCAGATAAAGGGTCAGTGAAAGCCAAACCCTAGAAAACTGACTATAAAACTAAGGTTACCTGAAGGGGATATGGAGGGGCAAGAACAAAGTAAGAAGGGAGCACAATGGACTACAGTGGTGGACTATGGGTGTGGTGTGGTGTGGTAACACCTGAAAGGGAGATCCTATACTTCTAAAACACAAACAATGACATAAATCAATGTTACCTCAACAAAAAAGGGAGAGAGAAAAAGTATGTCAGCTTCCATCTACTTCCTACTTAAAATGCTGTCCTACAAGGATGCAATGTAGGCAGCTTTGGCAGCCATTTTGTGGCCATGAGGAAAGACAGCACCAGCTGAGTGCCACTAAGAGGGTCTCAGTGTAGAAAGGTAGAAAGAAAAAGTCTGGCATCTGGGTCTGAAACCTCAGTGACTCCAAAGAGGCTTGAACTAGCCATGGACCAACTTCAGAATTTCTGCAAAATAACCAAGTGACTTTTTATAGCTCAGCCCCTATTAGCAAGTTTCTGTCACTTACAGCCAATGACTGCATACAGTTGACTCTTGAACATCACAGGTTTGAACTAGGGAGGTCCTTTTATACATGGATTTTCCCATAGCCAAACGATGTAAACTTTTGACATGGATAAACATAGAATAGTACTATAAATGCATTTTCTCTTATGATTTAACATTTTCTTTTCTCTGGCTTACTTTATTATGAGGGTACAGTATGTAAAACATATAACATATAATATGTCTTAATCAACTCTTTATGTTATTTGTAAGGCTTCTAGTCAATAGGGTGCTACTAGAAGTTAACTTTTTGAGGAATCAAGTTGTATGAAGAGTGTCAGCTCCTCCAGGTTTGGTGCCTCTAGCCCCACATTATTTAAGGCTCAGCTGTTTACTAAAGGCCAGGAGCCATATAACTTGATAGCGAATTATCTTTCAAATTCTTGTTGTTATTTGTTTTAGAGGAATGGATAAGAAATATATTTTTTGATTTATATATATTTTACATCATTGTTCATTTTTAAACAATGTTTGTCCCCCTCCTCAGGTGTAGTCCCCATAGAATTTCTTTCACCAGAGCACCCGTGCACTGTCACCTCAGTCCCCTGTGCTCCTCCCTCCCTCCTTCTGATCCCTCTCCCTCCTCCTCCCCTGCAGGATGTCTCTGATTTATAATTGTCTGTTTGTTTTTGTTTTGATTTGTTGTGTTTTGTATTTGTGTTTTGTATTATTTTTCCCCGATGATAAGAAATATATTTAGATAATTTAAACAACTGACTTCTCCTTTGCCAAACTCAAAACCCTTATTGACGTCTATATTTTTAATATTTCCCCCAAGTCCAGTTATAAAGGCAATGAGCCCAGTTCAGTCCTAGACCAGTGATTTTCACAATTCATAGCTATGAATCAGATTCATCTGTTTAAAAAAAAGTCGCTGGGCTCCATCTCCAAGGTGTCTGATTCAATAGATCTTAGGTGGGGGTCTGAAAATTTACATTCTTAGTAAGTTCTCAGGTGGCCCAGATCCTGCTGATGGGGGGGGGGGGGCGCACGTGTTTTGACAACCACTGTCCTCCACCTCGACAGTCACTTCTCAGTAAGCCAGCTTCCAAATTCCCTTTCACACCTATAGTCCAGATACTTTAGTCTGAATTCCACTTTCTGGAATCCTCTCCAAACTTACCAGTAAATTGTTTTAGGATATGTGCATGCTATTTGCCCTGCCTAGAATGTCCTCAAACCTTATCTCACCGAAGCCTCGTTAGGGTGACACAGTGGGGTAACTTCCCTCTCTTGGCCAAGTGATTATTTCAGTAAGATGAAAATTACAGAATTCCAACAGGCAGAAATAAGCTAAAGAGCCTTCCCACCTACTGCTCTCTACCAGGTGCAAGTGGGAAA